GAGATCAAAACAGCACTTTCCCGGGCTACTCTTCTTGTTCACCCATCACCAGTAGCACCATGCAGTGTAGTTGTTGATGCTTCGAATGTGGCTGTAGGAGCAGTGCTTCAACAATTCCTCAACGGTGCCTGGCAACCTATTTCTTTCTTTTCAAAGCGCCTGCAACCAGCCGAAACGAAGTACAGCACATTTGGACGAGAACTACTCTCCGTCTACTTAGCTATCAAGCACTTTCGGTACTTTTTGGAAGGACGCGCATTTCATGTTATGACAGACCACAAGCCATTGCTCCATGCACTGTCTTCTTCGTCTGATCGATATTCGCCACGGGAAATTCGCCATCTTGATTTTATCTCTCAATTCACCTCTGACATACGACACGTAAAAGGCCATCAGAATGTGGTTGCTGATGCTCTTTCTTGCATTGAGCTCAATTCCTTGCTCAATATTCCAAGCCTTGACTTTGTCACACTGTCTGCAGCTCAACAGCAAGATTCTGAATTCCACCAGGTACAGTCAAACACCTCTCTTAATCTGAAAGAGTTTCCTTTACCGGCAGATTCTGGAACCATCATTTGTGACATATCAACCGGCACTCCTCGCCCATATGTTCCTGTCTGTTATCGCCGCCTTGTGTTTAATCACCTCCACTCACTTGCACATCCCGGTATTCGTGCAACACAGCGACTTATCAGACAACATTACATCTGGCCTAGTATCAACAAAGACATCCGCAATTGGACTCGGTCCTGTATCCCATGCCAACAGGCTAAAGTCACCCGTCACACGTTTTCCCCCATTGGAACTTTTCCATCTACTGACACACGTTTCGATCACATACACATAGACCTTGTTGGCCCTCTACCACCATCAAACGGTTGTAGATATCTTCTTACTTGCATCGACCGCTACACTCGTTGGCCAGAGGCGATTCCAATTTCAGATGCTACCGCAGAAACCGTCGCTCAAGCTTTTGTTTCACGTTGGATTGCAGCTTTCGGTGTTCCTTCAACGATAACCACTGATAGAGGAGCTCAGTTTGAATCAGCTCTCTTCCGTTCCCTCGCTGATTTACTTGGAATCAAACGTATTCATACTACTTCTTACCACCCTTGTGCCAATGGCATGGTTGAGCGTTTCCATCGACAGCTTAAAGCTTCAATCAAAGCTCAACCGGATTCCACAAGATGGATCGACCTTCTTCCACTCATTCTCCTCGGACTACGGACAACGATTAAAACTGACCTCGGTTGTTCACCTGCCCAACTTGTTTATGGTTCCACACTTCGTCTTCCAGGTCAATTCATATCTCCGACATTTGATGTCACAGCCCTTGATCCCTCTGTTTTCGTTGATCGTCTACAAAGTTTTATGCAACAACTAAAACCAACTCCTCCCCGTTCTCAAGAAGCTTACACATACATCCCAGCTAATCTTCCATCTTGTACGCACGTTTTTGTTCGCCATGATGCTGTCCGAAAGCCGTTTCAACCTCCCTATGACGGTCCTTTTAAGGTTCTCAAGCGCTCTGACAAACATTTCCTCGTAGATGTCAATGGAAAACAAAAAACAATAAGCATAGATCGTCTTAAAGTTGCTTATACCGATGCAGATAACCAACGTTCAACTGCCAAAAACACACCATTCCCATCAAACCATGCTTCAGCGAGGGCCAAGCCGGTAGAGAACCAAGTACCTGGTACTCTTCGGACACGTTCAGGGAGACAAGTTCATTTTCCCGACAGATATGGACATGCCTGAATATTCTTATATACGTTTAATTAACTTTTATCCCAAATGCTTTTCTCGAGCTTGCATTCTAGGGGGGAGGTACTGTAATGATAACATCTAAGCTTTTGTTTTGTTCCCGCTGTGTTTTTCATGCTACGCTTCGCTGCTTGTATATACCGCTGTGTTTATTTAGAAATAGTTAGTTGGTTCGAAATAAGATAATAACACGACGTACGTCTCTTACTATCGACTTCGCTCTTCAATAATTCGTCCTTCGAGACTGTTACTTTATTAACAACACAGGTTGTTAAACACTTTCCAACCTGTGTCGGAGTCCACGAGATTTTCTCGGCAATTTGTGCCTTTTAAGAAACTTAATGCGCAAATATTGCCTATTGTTGAATATTTCTTCCTATCTATGTTGGAAGAAGTTAATCGATGGTTTTCTCTAAAACATTTGTTTGTCGCAAGCTATGCGGTGAACAATGCTATTGAAAAATAGTTGATTAAAAAGGACAAGATTTATTACAAGATAAAATTGAAGAATTCATTACGCATAATGTGCTAATGATCGAAATGTTTTCATTGGCAATAATAATGTCTTGAAACGAAAAGAGAATCCCTTAAGAAGAAAATTCATTAAAGATTTTATTTATGACAGCGTGATTTTGCTGTTGTTAGGGTAAATTTCCTTGAAACGATCCAAAACATGATCCAAATCAAGCATCTCTGCACGTTTCGCATGAATCGGCATTCGCATGAGCAGCAACAGGGATTTCAACCGAGAGGCGCACGATGGTATTGTGGGTCATGCGAAGGAGCACCATGAAATTAAGTCACAGCTTTCACGGAAGCGACAGGATATAATGCCACTATGATAGTAAAATTGCCGAAGAAAAGCCATTGAGAAAACTATAAACCAGCCAGTGCAGTTTTTTCCTCGATTATTGTCATTCATTCAAACAACATGTAAACCGGGTGACATCCATCAAGTGCCGGCGGTATTGAGAAAGCAAAAATTGATTGGCTGCCGACGGGGGGGCTAACAAAAATCTAAGGGGGGCTAAAGCCCCCCTTGCCCCCCCCATGCCGCCACTCCTGAACCCTGACGATTTTGCTCTGCTATCCGGAACAGTTTTGACCCTGCTTTGAAAGCGAACGAATTTTGTACCGTCACGGTCCCGTTTTTGAACGGGGCAGTGTAAACACCTATCCGAGATGATTTTGTCACGGATTCACAAAGAGGTCTTTTGTATGGCTGTTTCAGGTAATCGAGGCTTTGATTGTGGCGTAACTACGTCGTCAAATTCTAAAGAAAAGGAAATTCTGAAGAAAAGACGATCACAGAAAAGGCTTGTATTGTTTCCCAGTCCAAGCCTTAATTGGACTTGGCAGTTTCGTAGTCTAAAAAACACTGAAAAATTAAAGCCACCTTGTCGTTCGTCCAAGTAAAGTTTTTATCGGCCTTCCACTCCATTTTAGCTCTCAATTAAATTTCGATTGTTGACTTCGGCGGCAAAATAAAAGCCTTGGTTGACTAAATACAGCATCTTCTAAACAATGTTCTACCATTAAATTAAGGTCGTACCGGTACAGTGTAAACGGAACGGCTAAACGGAACAATTTGGAACCGCGACAGTGTAAACACTTGCGAACCGTAACGGTACAAAATTGTCCGTAACGTAACCGTAACGTAACGGTACAAATGGGACAGTGTAAACGGGTTTTAACGTTCGAATTTGTGATAATCATTTATTGTAATGATCAACGATCAACACGTGTTTCAATTGTTCTCATTAAACGAATTTCAATCAGATTTGCATGTTAAAAAAATTTGAGAAACACTTCCCATGAGTTCAAAAAGCAACTTATTTGCAGCTTTAAAAATTTTGACTTCTGGTGATCGATAATCACCTTCCACCTTCTATGTCTGATTAAACTCTCACTAGTCTTTTCAAATCAGTATTAAAAATGTTTATGGTATATATTAAACACAATGCATAGAAATACACAGTATACGTTTAAACAGAGGTCTCCAAAACAAATAACAGAGAAACAATCAGCGGAACAACTCAAATGGTATGGAATGCTAACCATGAGTTAAGGAGATTTATCCAGTCTTTTCCAAAGAATTGACTTGAAATTACACGCTTTTTTTCTCGGCGCTTTTATCGTTACAACGATAAGCACGAAAAAACCGCTACTGTGTAGACAAAAGGAGTTCGTTTTCACCTTAGGACTCCACTGATAACATTCTAATAGGCAAGCGGCACTGATTGGTCAACCTATACAGTCATGTGCTCGTGTTTCTGATTGGCCTATTTCGATCCACAACTGGGTATATATATTTCCTAGCGTAGAGTTTTCGATCCATATTCTGACGCTATAAACTCTGAAGAGTGTCAGACGAAAAGCTTTAGTTTACTAAATGTTTGCTTTTTCAAAGCCATTTACAAGTTTTGTACCACCAAAAGAGTAGCGAAACAAAAAATTCATAAAGAGCTGGTGTAGGTAATGATGCAATCACTGTTTGTAAATGGTTTGCATAGACACCCGCCCCCTGTTTGCATTGCTCTGCTGTTAGTGCATCGGGATCAAAGAACGCTAAACATTTTTGTGTCGTCCCTCCTTACAAATAAGATCAGCGTTGATTTTTTACTTAATTTGACTTCAAAATCTTCATTCGTAATGAGATAATTAACGTTACTCAAAATAAATTAATTTGAAATAAATTACTACCTTACAGCACAAAGATAAACATTAATGAAAATAAGAATTTGAATTGTACAACAAAGCCTCATTGTAATAGAGCTTAATTATTTGGTTTCCATTGACAACAACAAAAATAAGAAGCTTAGGAGACAGCATTGAGCCCTGAGGAACACTTAATATGAGCTGAAGAAAGAACAGAGTGTTTTAAAAGAAAAGAACAACATGGCTATTGAACCAGATACTACAAAAAGCCGTTTGATGTTCAAACATTGTCTTAATTTTTCCTCTATACCTACAACGCCTTTCCAACCTGTTTTATCATGCGGGTCCTTCTCACTCTTTAATACTAGATACAGGTATTTTATCATGTACTTTCTCACGCCGAAATTGAAGATATTGACCAGACTTGTTTAGATAACCGATCATCAATATTGAAATATTTTTGTGATGATACTTGTTCAACATGTTGGGTTATCACAGCTGAAAACAGTACCAACGCAGTTGTTTTTCAATGCAAAAAGGTTGTAAAATCAAGGAGAGAAGACCCGTACATAAAGTTTGAAGATTCAAGCTTTAGATTCTTTTAGTGCGAGAGAGCTTCTTGCTACTACTAAATTGTTTGAAATCTTTAAAATGAGCTAGAAGATATTATTGACAACGGTTCTGCAGTCAGTTGATACGAATCAGCTTAAGTTTCAAATTAAACTACTATACAACCTGTAAACGAGGAATAACAGAAACGAGGCTGCTCCTCCGATCATGAACAGTGGCGTAGCTTGACCTTCCAGATTGGTGGGGTGGAGGTCATCAAGTGTAAAATTTACCGACGAAGACAATAGATAGGGAAAGATTTAGGTGTTATTTCACCTAACGAGTTCATGGACCAACTTAATATTTACTTACAAACTTATAAAGTATTGGGGATTTCACCCCCCTTCAGCCCCCCCCCCCTGCTAGCTACGCCCCTGATCACGACAAAAGATGGCCTATTTGCCAGTTACATACTAAGTGTTTGAAAATTATATCTCGAAATGCTTCTAAAAACTAATCTATCATTTTATTAGATTTGATATCCTGTAAAGGAGGGTTTTCGAACAACTTTTAAAAAACTAAAACTATTTTACAACAAAAACCTGCCTTCCATTTAATCAATCTTTTGGCAAAATCTTCTCTTTGCCAAAAGAAAATTTCTTGACACAGAGGAAAATCTTTAAAGGATAACCTGTACTAATCGGGCATCATATAAGAAGCACTTTCATTCTCCCTTAAGAACGACTTTTGGGAGGCGAAGGTAAAGCTGCTTTCAAATTTTTAGAATTCTGCAACATTTCAAATTTGTAAATAGAGCAGCAAGACCAATTGGTATCGAGCTTCAAATGGTGAATCCAAGGATCAAGATACGACGGGGGGGCTTTGGGAGCCTTGCCCCCCCCCAAGAAAACTTAAGTTGCGTAAGTAAACTACTCCTATTTTGTGAAATGTGACTGTTTTTACACTTACTTATAAGGGCTGCCCCCCCCCCCAAACAAAAAGTTGTATCTCGGTCTTTGGGTGAATGGATTACCTTGCGTCGAACTTTGGCTAGTCAAGGACATTTTTAAAATAGGCCTGGCCTTTTTCAAACGTTTCTCAATCTGACCATTAACGTAAAGCTACGCAAAATAACAACATTATACTACATGGAAATATACCCTTAATCTATATCTTAATGTACATATTATAACTTACTAACAATCATACCTAACTAAAAGTTATTTTCTTAGTATAATATACACAATAAAATAATTTTAATCTAAAAAGTAGGTCATAACTTGAGTGACTGCAAGTCCATAAAAAATATTATCGTCAAACGGGTGGTTAACAATAACGGAAATGGCCCTTTAGAAAAGGCCCCTTATAGGCATAGTTAAAGATTGGTAACAGTTACCAAGTAAAAAACATCTAAAGTTGCCGAAAAATAAAGAAAACCAAACTGGTCACCTTAAACAAATAAACATATCTTTACTGCCCTATAATTTCCCTCTACAGTGCCTATATTAACGACTTTGTTCGTTTACCGTGGATTCTTCCTCTCTGGGAGCTTCCAAGAATTTCTGCTATTGTGTTTCACCCATTCCCTTCTCGTATGAGTGATCACTGGATCTTCTTCGTAGTCTTCCAAGTAGAAGTTGTCGTTAGCATTAGAGTAGTTTGGCTGGGGTGGCTGTCCAAAACCTGTTAGAGATGCACAGTCTCAAATTAAGCCTTACATTCATATTTCAGTTGTATCTTAAGAGTGATTAAGATGAATTCGAACAGCGAGTATGGAAATGATTGACTACTGTAATGTCAAAGATTCATGTAAGACATTAACCAGTTGATTCTAACGAAATACCTTTTAAGCCTCTTTGTCACAACAGCTAAATCCAATTAATTACAGTCTATTAGACATTGAAAAATTCAATGATAAGTAGAATGTGCAACAGGCACCTTGTTGTCTGACGGATATCATTTGAAAAGATTGACAGCCGTTTTTCGGATTCAAAAGCACATTTTTTCCACACAAAAAATTTGCAAATTCTATTTAAAATATAAGCTACAGTTTCCTAGAGACGGGATCCTGAAATGTGTGCGTAAAATGCTGTTGCTGCTGCGAAAGTTGCAAATGAACCATTAAATTCATCGATAATTTTTGTAAAAGTGATCACATGGAACCTGTGCTAAATGCAGAATTGACAATTCAAGAATTGTTCATATTTAACTGATAAGCATGGTTAGGATATGCGTTCAAGCAAAAACAATGCTTACCCTGCGGCCCTCTTTGCATGCGCTGCCGTGGAGGACCGGTTCTTTGGCTCATATTCAATGGCACAACAGTTGACCCTCGCCCAATTTCTCGAATGTGCATACAAGTGAATATGAGCATCATAATCTAGGTACAAAGACAGGTTCCAAAGTTTAACATAATGGCCTCAAAAGCCCAAAAAACTGCACAAAAATATTATTATGGCAGAGTATTTCTCGTAGTGCTGTCCTAAAAACACACAATCAAGAATAAACAAGAAGCTGCAAAATCCATACTTGCTTAAATGATATCAACAATATCCCAACGACATATAATGTCAACTAAAGCCTTATGTATGTCGTTAGGAAACCTTATAGTTGAGCTGTTTCCATTTGAATTCTAGAATGTACGTGATATAGACCCCGTTTACATTAAAAAGGATCCAAATGGATCCGTGCCCAAACTAGCACGGATAGGCTTTCCGTTTACACTAGACCTGCTCAGGAGTGGCGGCATGGGGGGGCAAGGGGGGGGGCTTTAGCCCCCCTAGATTTTTGTTAGCCCCCCCGTCGGCAGCCAATCAATTTTTGCTTTCTCAATACCGTCGGCACTTGATTAGGGATGTACCGGATATCCGGTAGGCCGGATAATCCGGCGCCGGATCGCTGATTTTTTGAAAATCCGGTTCCGGCCGGATTTGTTTCCGAAATCCGGCCAGTTGCCGGATTTTCCAAAACTTTAATCAAAACTAAGAAAATTTGGAAAACCAAGTCAGACTCCCTTCATACAGTGATGAAAAATGGATTTTCCAGAACTAAACAATACCAACGATAAAACAAGCGCCTTGAAAACAGATTTGAAATGAAAGTGCTCGTCATCACGAAACAGGAAGACTGGATGATATAATTCACAAATTTGGTCCAGGGTTGCCAGATCGGCTTTTTAGGCCAAATTTTTCATTTTTGGTTTTTAGATTTAGATTGCCTGGAAAAATTGTTTTTTGCTTACTATTTAAATTTGACCTTGTTGGCCTTTTCAGCAGACGTCCAAAATTAATATGTAATTACTACATTCATAGAATAATTAGTAGTTAACTACAAAGTGTTAAACAAATTTCAAATTTTATCACTAACCTAAATATTATCTTGATATTAGCAAAGGGTTTTGGAAAAAAGTAAGATTCTTATCAAAGTTAAGAAGTTATCTAACAGGCACAAGCGTAGAAATATAACCAGTGCCTGCTCGATGGATTCTTGAGAGAGTTTTTGATTTGGCCTTTTTATGAGCATTTCGGCTTAAATTGCTCACCAGTCTAGCCTTCGTTTGTAAATTCAATCTGGCAACCCTCAATAGGTCTCTTTGATCTTCTCGCTATACATTTTTCGCAAAATGGCTCAAAACTTTTTATTACTGAAAATTCTATAAATGGTCAGATTATCCGGTAGAATCCGGCCGGATATTCCACGAAGAAATCCGGTAAATCCGGTTCCGGCCGGATTCTGAAAATCCTGATCCGGTACACCCCTACACTTGATGGATGTCACCCGGTTTACATGTTGTTTGAATGACATAAATAATCGAGGAGAAAACTGCACTAGCTGGTTTATGGTTTTCTCAATGGCTTTTTTTCGGCAATTTTATCATCATAGTTACATTTTATCCTGTCGCTTCCGTGAAAGCTATAACTTAAGGGATTCTCTTTTCGTTTCAAGATATTATTATTGCCAATGAAAACATTTTGATCATGAGCACATTTTGCGTAATAAATTTTTCAAAAAGCACTTCTTGTCCTTTTTCATCAACTATTTTTCAATAGCATTGTTCACCGCATAGCTTGCGACAAACAAATGGTTTAGAGAAAATCATCGATTAACTTCTTCCACCATAGATAGGAAAAAATATTCAACAATAGGCAATATTTGCGCATTAAGTTTCTTACAAGGCACAAATTGCCGAGAAAATCTCGTGGACTCCAACACAGGTTGGAAAGTGGGGGCGGGGAGGGGGCAAGGAAGAATTTTGCACCAACAACAAAAGATTTTGGAAAAATGCTCTATTGCTTTGTGAAAAATGTAAAAAAGTGGGGGCCATGACCCCTCGGTGCCCCTTCATTAGAGGTGCTGCTCAGGGGCGTCGCGACTGGGGGGTTGTCACACCCACCCCAATAGTATCTCAAAGGGAAATTTCAGGTAAAATCCGCTCGGTGGAAGAAACGCTTTAGGTATTTCAGAGACCTTCCTGTCATAAAATCAATAAAGTATAAAGCAATCTTAGGTAAAATTATGCCTCATGTCCATTTCTCCTAAAGTTTCTCAGTAGAAGCGTCAACTGCAATTCACTATGAGCTCCAGATTTTCCTTAACATTCAAAAGGCATGCTAAGATGGAGAGAGGGATCTAAATTTAGAAGACCACGGCGAAATTGTATTTTTCAAGACCACGGCGAAATTGTTGTTTTTATCTGCTGTAAAAAAATTTTGCAAAAAGACAATAATTTTCAATAGGATTAGGAGGATTGCTTTAGTGAAATCTGCTTAAAAGAGTGCATTTTCCAGGGAACTAGAAGCATCACAATTCGAAAATTTCCTGTCCCTTCGGCGGCAACCATGGTGCCGCCTCAGGTAGTAACCATATATTTTGCCCGTCCCGATATAGAGATTTGACAAGACAATTAGGAAAGTCGGTTATTATCATACAGAGTTATATAGACAAAATGTATTGCAGAGGTTTGTGACACCAGCTAAAAAGTTTCAGGCAATAATTTTTTAATCAGGTAAATTTGCATTCCAACGAGGCTTGCCTCGCGACGGCCCTGCCTGCTATATGGGGCAAATCGAATTTTTTTTCTGTCAGCAATTTGACACATCCAGCGTCGGCAGTTACGGAGAATATAAACTTCGGCACCTTGAAGGTTTGTCTCTAGCGCCACCCCTGGACCTGCTGGATCCGTACCCGTTTGGGTCTGCTATCTGGACCGTGTGGGATCGCTTTCCAAGGTGTATTCACTTGGATCCGTCCCTGTTTAGGTCTAGTGTAAACGGCTGGAACCGAACCAAACCAAGCACACTTCGAATACGAAGCATGAAATTTTCTCCTTAAGAGGCCAATTGTTGGCGCTAAAACGTCGAATTCCCAGGGCCTCTGACGGAGGGGGGGCCAAGGGAGGCCATGGCCTCCTCACTTTTTTGCAAAACAATAGAGCTTTTAAAAAATTCTTTTGTTTTGATTGTCAAAACCTCCCTTGCCCCCCCAACCTTTTCAGCCTGCGTTGAAGTCCATAATTCCATAAATCAGAGAGATGGATGAGCAATGCAAAAAGAAAGTTATCCTTTTGCTTACGATGATAGTGTCATGTTTTAACTTCTGGCTGCAGTATGTTTCTTGTTCTTGTTCTCATTATAATTGGAATTCAAGTAGCCGAGACAGTGGAGTGGATCCGTGCTAGTTTAAAGGCGATCGAAATTGGATTCGTTTCAGTGTAAACACCAACAAAAATGGTCACGGATCCAAAGTGGATCCGTGTAAACGGGATCATAGAGTACTGAATAATGACATGCTCAAAACACAAAAATATCCTCTTATAAAATATTTGAAATTACGATTAGTACCAAAGGGGATATTTGCTTCAAATATGAGATCAAATTTGAAATACTAGCGAATCAAAAGGAGAGATTACTGGAGCCATTGCATCCTGAGAATATACATTACGAATAATCTTTTTAATAAAAAAACTGCTAGATGGAAAAGCTGCTGGGTCTATTTTTGTCTAGAACCAAAACTTTTGACGAAAATTTCACCTCGATAAATATGAAAGCGCAGCCAGAAGAAACGACAGTTATAGTTCTTTGATGGATCCAGTCAACAAGAGCACCAAAGCATGTCTGCAAAGGAAAGCAAACATTCGCTTACACTATCGAATCATTAAATTACATTTGCTTACATTAACTCATAAAGCAATGTGGACAGTATACTCATCATTTTTATCAAAATATTTTGAATAAGTAATTTTTCAAAGGGAACTTGGTCTAGCGGATTCAGCATGACAGAAGACTACAACTAACAAATAAGTGAAAAGCAATACCACATCAATGAAAACATCCCGAAAATAAGTAAAAGGTAGCCTGTTGCCCACGAATACCGTAGGTCCTCAAAAAGCCCCCATTTTTGAACCAGCCACGAGTAAGTCCCAACTAAAGTAATTTTCATGAAATAAGCCCCCGCCCTCAAATAAGCCCTCATGGGCTGAAGTATTAGCTCAACAGCAATAAGTTTATCCCTATATATCTGTATTTTTAAGCATACTAACCAGCCTCAAATTGAGGAACAAAATTCACCCTGGTAATATTTTAGCCTGCTGCTAAATAAGCCCCTCCTTCAAATAAGCCCCCAACCCCATTTTTTTGCGAAATAAACCCCAGTGGCGTATTCAAGAATTTACGGTACGTATATAAAACAAGGGCCTAAAATAATGACAGGTACACCGATTGATAAAAAGATACTGTACATCAAATTCTCACTGCTTACTCCATTCACTCTTATTGGAACTTCCTTATTCCCTAAAAAACATTGTAAAAAACACATGAAGAAGCAATCTTATGCAGACCTTTGGTTTGGTTGCTGGATATTTGGTGATGCACAAAGATACATTATAGGAGGCGTATGGTTCGTTCACTTCCATGCCGCAACAATTCATCTAAAATGGGAGCAGAGACACATTGCAAAGAAATCACTTTAAAATGAATTCGGCTCTTGGGCAATGAAATACTACTTCTGTCATGTGAATTTTTATAAGTGCCTTTAGACACTCAAAAGGCTATATTTTCTCTCCGTTCTTCTTGATTTAGAATTTTAACGTTTCGTCCTCTGGCTTTCTTGTCCACAGCAGATCTAAGAATTCCTTGTCTTTTTTTCATTACCTAGGTCATTTATCCATTTCTCCAACAAATCAAGCATCGAAAGAAATCACTCTTCGATGCCCTTCGAATCATAAAGATTTTTGGCAACAATTTTAGAGAGATAGCTTATGTGAAGTGTGATGGTTGAACTACGTGTAATAGCAGACAAAAAATCATTTTATCCGTGTCATGTAGGGATATGGACATGACAGGTTCATATTAGAGCTGGATTTTGTGTAGCTTTTCTCTGAAGATGATACTAAAAGAAATCAGTATTTATTGCAAAAAGAACAACAAAATCATTACTGTTCGTGTCTCTAGTAAAAGATAAAATTAGATTGTAGATAAAATTATTCCTTGGTTTTGCGTTTGTCTTTATTCTCAAGGGCCTGTTATACTTTAAATTTGTCCTGAAGATTTTACTTAACATTTAAATTATCATTCGATATTCTTAAAGGAAAATGAAGTAATGTCAGAGCGAGAGAGAGAGAGCAGCCAAAATTCCAAGAAAGCAAAGAAGCACGTTCATACCTCAGACTGGATACTCTCTCTGCCTTCATCAGTCATATCTTTCCAACTAATCTTGATAAGGCCCTCCAGCTTGATAAAAAGAGTAGCTTTAAAACACGGTACTTTTTAGAGATTCAATCTTATCTATTCTAGTCTGCTTTGCATTTAAGAAATACAAAATGAAATGTGAATAAGAAAACAGAAAACACAAGAATTAAATTGCACGTTGTCGTTTACAGATCGAGAAACATTTCGGGTGACTTCTTGGGGTAGCAGCATAAGAAGACGATCGTTATTGTAGAAACAAGGTTTCGAGAAAATACTAAAGTCAGCCCAGAAAATTATATACAGAGCACTAAAGCAAGGTTTCATTTTCAAATTAGTATCAAATCTTTCAAAATTGACGTTCCGTGACAACAGTAGAATGGCTAGGATGTTGAGGGAACGTAACATCAACAAGGCCTTGACTAAATATCAGAGTAACACTTCTTCGTAATTGTATATTTTTGTATCATATTCTTTTACATAGTTAAACTAAAAAAGGATGCTTAATTGTTTGGCTAAGTGACGACATCATCAACGAAGTGCATGTGCATATATGGCCATATCCTAGCCAATTCTGGGTGAATTCAGCTGAAAAAGTAGGAATTTTTATAATTTCCTTTCAAACTACACGGTGAAAATTCCAATAGTCTAATATGAATTTTGCGATATCATTGGAAAATTATTTGTCAAAAACTAAAGAGGCTAAGTGGGTTTTTGCACTGGTATTCTTCAATGTTAAACAACTTGCTCGCTTGAAGAATTAACCCACCTCTGATCGCTTTGCAAAGTAGACCACTACTAGGGCGATTTGGATCATCAGGAAAAAAATTAGCAGAGCAAAGAACTGAAAATTAAAGGAGAAAAATTAGTGAACATAAATTCAATTGGTTTAGTAGTTTGAATTTTTTAACTCTCTATAGAAACAGAAATGAATAGCAAGCACAATGTACATATCATACGTACAAGAATCAATTTTTTCGATAGTACCCAATGTGCATATCATAATTAAAACAGGAGGATACAAAATTTGTAATCATTTTTTCGATAGTGCCTAAATTTTCACTGTTTTCTACTACGAAATACTCCAGATAGTTTAATGTTAGAAAAACCATTAAACAGTTCTACTTGGACTTCTAATAATTTCGAAAATAAACAATGAATGGCTTAGATACTGTTTGGGTAGGTCAGTTGGTTGACGAAAATTAACAATTGCAACTCCTGGTCTTCTAAATATGACTCAAAATTTCAAGCATTTAGAAATTGAGTTGAATCATAGACAATTGGATGAAATGTCTAGTGCAAAATGGCGTTTCATAATGACTGATCGCTTGTTTATATTCAAAAGACACTTTTATAGTCGTTGGAACTCTTTAGGGTTAGGAAAATGGACAATCGACGCAGGAAGAACGCAGGAAGAACGCACGAAGAACGCAGGAAGAACGCACGAAGAACGCAGGAAGAACGCACAAAGAACGCCACTTGCGAATCGCGACGCGTGCAAAACAAAGTCCTTGCTCGAACTTATGAACAATCCTTCAACTACCCCGTTTACACTAGAGTGTTTTATCCGGATAAATTTTCATCCGGATAAAAATTTATGCGGATAGGCTCTCCGTCCACACGAGCGAATTTTATCCGTGTAGATATTTATCCGCTTTGCCGTACAAATATTTATCCTGCTACGAAAGCGAATAAATTTTTGTCCGGATTGAAAATTATCCGGCAAAGGGGAGTGTAAACAGTTTTATCCGGATAAATTTTATACGCATACACGGTGAGGCTATTCTGTTTCATATTGAGGCCATTTAAATATGATAACGAAACGGCGCAAGAGAAAAAATTGGCGCGCTTTTGTTAATATTTCATGTCATTTTCGCTGTTTCCTGAACTATCATGGATGAAAGTCTTCAAAACATCATACTATCTCTGTTTGCATTTTTAAGCTCAGTAGCTGCTGCAGCAAGGCTAAACGCTCTGCTAGCTGCTCTATCTGAGAGATCCTATAGAGTTAGTCAACGCAACTTGGAATCAATAGTTGACGAAAGCGATTCACGACTACAAAGAACAAGTCTTATTGCTGAAAGCTTCAAGAAGAAATCGACGACCTCGCCGATTCTGGGAAAGACCTTGGAGCAGCAAAGCAGTCTCCTCATCTGTCCATGTGAAGTTTTTATAAGCCTTCTTGCTACTTCCCGTCGATATATTCTCCGATTTCTTTGGCATTGTCGACTTTAAGACAGAAATATGAACGTGTTCACTCTGACATCAAAAACATTTTCGCGCGTTCTTAAATCAAAGGTTGTGCACATGCCTAATTAAAAACTCACCATTTAGTTTCACCGTGTAAACGGAGGGGCTAAACGGATAAAATTTTATCCGGTACAACGTAAACGAATAAAAATTTATCCGGATAAAAATTCATCCGGATAAAACACTCTAGTGTAAACGGGGTCTTAAACTATACAGAGGTTTGGGATCTTTGTTGAACAAAAAACTCCACTCACTAGTTTCAGAATGTTGCGCTTTCGAAGAGTGGCACCAAGGCACCCGAAAAACCCTGCAGATAAAAGCAATCATAAACAAAGACATAGAAAGAGTTTTCAAAAAATGGGGAGGGGCCTAATGGAAACAAAAAGGAGCACTTCTGCGGGCAGCAAATATTAACTTCGCCACTGTTTCTGAACACAAGAGAACACGTGTCACCTGTGTCAATGGTCCCTACACTAATAGAAAATTTGATATGATATGCAATTGCTATAGAGATGTAAAATTTCAGGGGACTAGTAGTCAAAAGACTTTTGCGTTGCTTTTTAGAATTCTATTTGTTCCTGGAAGGTATCTTTTGAATTTTTTTCATTGCCATAAATGTTCTATGTTTTCGGACACCTTCTGCAGTTTGTATTATCAAATTTTCGTTTGTACTTACCTTTTACATCAGTCAAGTTTTGTTTCAACTAAAGTAATGTTGGTCACTTTTTATGCTTTATATATCTGCTTTATAAAATTATCTTTCTTAATGAAACTTATCTTTGTTATATCACTACTTTTTATTATTATTTTATTATTATTATTATAGAATTATTCACAGTAGGCGAAGCAAATTTTTTAGCTAATATAACAGCTAATTAAAGCCTACTATTTATACTAAATTTACAAATCTTAAATTAATTACAATAAATTGATAAAATAATACAGGGAATGTACAAAAATAAAAGGATGACTTTTAATTTGTTGCTCTTTATGATATTACTTTTTACTATTTTTACAATCTTTTCTTGATAGATCTGAAAATTGCTTTTCTAAGAATTTCATATTTAGTAGTTCCTTCAAGCCATTTGTTACTTCATTGTAACAGCAGTTTCTCAGATTAAGGGTTATTATATTTTGAATTCCACAACATACTAAACATTAAACATTAAACATGTACTATTTTGTTCGCGGTAGACTTGTTTTTTTGATCACGTTTCGTTAATGTTTATTAGTTCATGCAGGAGTCTTCTTAGTTTTATTCGATAAACCGTTGGCATAAGTCCACATTCATATAGTAAGTTTTGATAGGGTGTTGATTTTGGTATTAAAGTGGTTAGGGTTATCGCATCTTTTTTTGTATATTTTCAAGAACCTTTAACATATCTTTGCTCAAATATTAGTCGATATGTAAGATTTTAGGGATAGGTACACATTTAATTAATTATATGCTTTTGTCCATGCTTCGCTGAGTGCTGACAAGCAAATTTTACATCATCAATGATTAATGCTTGCCTAATTTTGCAGATCAGTTATTTTGCAGATCTCCCAGGTATTTACATTTCCTCGTCACTTCAAAGGTACTCTGGGTGCCAGAGCCTCAGCAGTCAAAGGATGAACAACGGGGGAAGGAATTGCGAAGGAGATTTACTCTTACATTCTCCTTCGCAATTCCTTACTTCAAAGGTTGCTTCCTTTATCTTTAGTTTCTTATCTTGGTCCTTTCTATGTTTGTTTTTAAAAAAATTCATGCTTTCACGGTTTCTTAGGTTGAGGTTGCAGTTGAGCCTTTTGCTAGATTTCAATTCAAGAAAAAAATACGTTTAATACTTGATACAATCACACATGGACACATTATTCGTGTAAATATGCAATTGTTTTAGGAGGACTACAATGATAAACTCTTGCAGTCTGTTTACAAGTCCTGCGCCAAGCAAAGAATTCTATCTATTGTATCAAAATTCGTGTCTTAATTAAACCCATTATAAATTCTGTCGCTGAAGTGGAGGTGGTCCTGATATAATGATAAACTGACGTCGGAACATAGACAGAACTAATACTCGGACATCCTTCTTACCTCCTCCTAGCAATAAAACTCTAAATGGACTTGTGCCCCTCCGGTCCTTAAAAACCCCGAAGTAAAAAAAACTGCCTTTTTCACTCGGCTCGAGAAGTGGGGATCTTTTTGCCTAAGTTAATCTTGATAATCTTTTCAACTCTAGTAAGTTGGAGCCTAGATTTTCTTTAAGATATTATTCATAGTGTGAGTAGTTTAATTGTTCATTCACTTACCAATGAGAAAAATGAAAGATGCAGTGCCAAGGATCGAGATGTCCAAAGCCTGAAAAACATCGGCGAAACGTTTAAAGAAATATCGAAGCAAAAATCCAGATGGGAAATCTGTTCGGATACAAGCATAGAAGTTTAAAGTCACCTATCTATTTAGATTTTGGCATAACGATTTTTAAGGCAAGCCCATTTTTTAGAATTTTTAACTTAACTTGTGACATCAGCTTCTTAGCTTTCGAAAAAAGTATTAAGACACTAAGAAGCTATGCTTATCAAGCAGTGGCATTCCTCTCGATCTGACCAAACCTAGTTATTCCTACACCTGGAATTACAGAGAGCTGGCAACTCTTCTCGTTCAAGTATAAATCTAGTCATGTTACTGCACTTTGTAAATAAATACATGCTATATAGGGTTCAAAAAACGAAGAAAACACGATAAGAACAATATAAATTAGCGAATGTTGCTTCGATTTGGGTATAAATTGGAGTACTATAACAAAGGGCATATGGAGCTATTGCAAGCATCTTGGCAACTTTTTACTGCCTCTATGATGCAATTTTCATGTTGCGATTGGTCATTATGTCGGGTCAGCAATTTGAATGCCTTAAACTGAGTGTTCGAATGCCTTAAACATGTTTGGCTTGTTAAAGCTAATTTCAAGTGGAAACTAAGGCAGCCTTTCCACTAGCCCGGGTTAAAACAAAAACGGGTTAAAAGTTATCCGTTTCTGCGTTGCGTTCCCATTAACCCACTTGAAAAACAGATAAGTTTGAAAACGGGTCTCAGAGAGAGTCAGTTTTAACCCGAGTATTTTTGACCCACCTATGAGTTAATGGAAACGCCGAAACCCGGATATCTTCTGACCCACTCGCAACAACAGCAACGTTTAAGAACTGAGATGGCGCTAAGAATCAAAAAACAAAATCCTCGATGTCGATGTTGCTTCCATTGGCCTACAATGATGGAAATTGAAGGATTATTGATGCACATACTGATTTCTTTGAAATGATACTGAAAAGCAAGGTGATGGTGAGTGAGAAAGATGTTACAGCAGAAGTGGTCATCAAGGTCAACGGAAGTGTGCTAGGGCAGGTAAAGAAGTTCCAGTACCTGGGTGTTACTCTGACAGAAAACATGGCAAGCGAAGTGGAAGTCAAGAGAGGAATTGAAAGAGCAACAAGAGCTTTGGCTAGACTTGGCAACATCTGGAAAGCAAGGAAACTAAACATCGGAAGAAATGAATACAATGGTGACAAGTATACTTGTTTGTGGTTGTGAAAGTTGGACAGTCATGGACAAGATCTGGAGAAAGTTGGAAGCATCAGGGCCTTTTTAACATACTAACTAGGGGGCAATTGCCCCTCCAGCCCAAGTGACTTTCCATTGTTTTAATCAAAAGGCTATTGTCTGCCTCTTTATATAAACAAAGGGTTGCCCCCGCAGCTAATTTCCCTTAGAATAGGCTCTGGGAAGCATTCTAGCTAAAATGCTATAGGAGAATGCTTGGCATCAGATGGAAAGAGTGCCAAACGAATGAATATGTCTGAGGACTGGGGGAGGCTGTTTTTGGTTGGGAACAACCGGAGAGACTGACACAAGTGGTGCAAATGAGGATCCTCATCTTCTTTGGACACCGATCAAGACGAGATGGATGGACAAGGCAGCTTATCCAGGGACAGTGTAATGCTAGCAGGTACCAAGGAACACCCAACATCAGGGAATGGACCAGACACGGCGGACAGACATGCTACAACCCCACAGCAGACAGGGAACGGTGGCGAGCGAGCAATGGGTGCAACAACGGTCTAGCACGTTACAGACTAATTGGTTGACCAAAAAGTGTAGATTTAAATCAGCTAAAATTACAATCTTTAAGGAAATAAGTTATCCAGAGGATTGTAAACGATTGTATAAACGTAAAGAAAATCGTTGTCTCACACACGGTCAACGAATGTAGAAGAAAAGGAAAGATAGTAAATTGCCACAACCACACCCTGCATTGTTTCATCTCTGAACACTGTCTTGAGAAAAGATAAACACTTTTCTGATTTTCACGTAGAATGGAATTCACTAGGCCGTGCACTAATAATATTTTACTTGTTAGGGCTTGAAGGAAGGCAAAGGGTTAACAGTAATGCCGTTGACAAATTCATCAAATGCGTTTGCGTTTTGTGAACCCACCCTCAGTGAATCCCAAAAGTAACTAAGATGATCTCTAAATCCAAACCTTCAAGAAAATGAATGAGAATTTGACCTGCTTCGTCAAAAATAGCAAGCAGATTATTCAGGTCTACAAACAGATGCTTAGACAGGTCCTGATTGCAAAGCTCTGCTTTCTTGCTGAGCAGCGCATGAAAAATTCATGAAATATCTCTAAACGCGACTTTGAGGACTACTTAGTAAGTCTATGGAAAACAGATTTCATTAACGTATGCACAAGTTTCATCGCTCTTGCAAATGGCATTAAAAGTGCACTAAGTTGCAGGTCAAATTTTAACATAAACAATAGTTTGCTGTTTGTAATAGTATTGTGGAAGGTTTAATACCTAATCCTACGTAGGCCTTCATTTCCTGACTATATAATAAATGATTAAGAAAAGTGAAATTTTAGTCCGCTTTGATCCTAATAAGAATGGTTTGATTGAGGATTTGGCCCCCTGGAACAAATTCAGTAAAGAAAATCACAAATCAAATCAGTTCACATTTTTAAAATCACTGAGCAGATTTTACATTCTTGGGCTTAAAATTTTTTGGAAAATGATTCCAACGAAACCCACCTATGAAATCAGATATTCTGCATTTTATCATATGATAATTATACATCAGCAACATCATATAGAAGCACTTAGTGGGATGGTTACAAAACTCTAGAAATCAGGTCGCAGGTCGATCTAAGATTATTTAAAGTCCTACTTTAACTGTTTCAAGATTAATTTTGTATCACGAAATTTGTTGAAATGGCGTTCTGATGGAACCATTGTCGTGGAAGGCTTGTAAACACAAAGTGAGAAACATAAAATTGCTCCAAAATAGATTTTGGCACTATTCAATAAATGCTCTCATTATAAATCGTTTGAGTAGAAAAACTTCTGAACTTTTACGACAACTCTGACCTTAAAGCTTAGATTCTGCCCAGATAACGACCAGACTAAAAAATGTTTAAAGTTTAGCCAGATTAAGTTTCCAAGTTACTATGGTTCAAGCCTATTTGAGCCTATTTGAACATTTTAAGCCTAAAAAATTAATGGAACTTAGAGAAAAGTGAATGAAACAGTAATAAAAACCCAGTGACAAGGGGACATGCGCAAGTCCATGCAACTTGATACGCCTCTTCGTGGATCGAAGTTTAATATGACCACTTCAAAAGATGATTCTTCGGACACAAATGCTTTGGACGGGACGAACACTGTTCACTAGAAAATGCAAACAACATACCAAACTGCCAGTTAGGCCTTTGAATTTCATATCTTCGACCATGCTGTACCCCGCTAACCCTACGAAAACGGATCCAGCAACCTGCAATAGATTGAAAATGCATTGCCTTAACGCTTTTCTGGAAATGTTAGGCAGAGAGTTTTACTAAACAAGAATGCGGAATCTTTATTGAACAGGAAGAACATCAAATCCAGAAAAGCCGACATACTCAACTAATTAAAGACTTCTCTGACTTTCAGTGATCATCAATCTTTATCATAGAGGCTGGTAGTAATCGCTTAGGGATTAGATTTCATATAAAAAACTTGAGGTTTTTTATTCAATGTTGTGACTGCCTCGCATGCTACGCATTTCTCAATTTATTTCGTTTACACTTTCAATCTGTTGTTTTAAGTTTAGCTCAACGTTAATATAAAAGTAAAGTAAAGGTACTAGTGAATACAAAGCATAGAAGTCACTGCTGATTAACAAACAAACCTAAACTCACCCATAACAGCAGGGTTAATATTATAAGCATAATTCGAACGAAGCCCATCTTGCCAGATAGGCGTTTTTGAAGAGTTCTTCAATGAAATTCGACGGTCAAAACTGCTGTTTCTCAAGCCGTCCACAAAATTGTCGTCGCAATGTCAGGCTTTTACACGTTTATCAGCGAATCCTTCTTTCTTCTGTCGTTACTGGTTGGCCTCCGCGCATATCGGATTTCGAACCGGACGTCAATGTCCAGAGTCTTTCAGTCAAAAGCCAATGGTTAATATGGAACCGATAAAATAGAGTTCAAGGTTACTTGGTTCAATAAATGTACAAAACGAGACGGCGTCCTGTGAATGGAGGTGATCAGCTGATAATGAAATTTCCCTCAGAACAGCAAATTGATCCCTTTGCGTTGAGAAATATTCGTTTTTGTGGTTTACGTGGATGCTGAATACTTAATCTTGATTTTGTGTTTATCAACACCTTGAAGATAAATCATCAAAAGTAAATTGATATCTACAGTATAGTTTATTTATCAATTGATAAATATATCAAAACATCCTTGGGGTTTATAGTTCCGCCTATCGCCCCTCGTTTGATTTGCTTATTGAAAGTTGGGTCACTAGACCTTTGCATTCGTATACAAATAGCCTTGTTATTTGGATACCGGGGTCGAATAAAACAGAATGTGGGGGGGGAGGGGAGGTTGGGTCATTCACATAACAAACTGATCTTGTTGGTATCTAAGGGGCCATTCAAAAACCACGTCACACATCACACACACTGAATTGCAACAATTGCCTCCCTTCTTTCAATCACTAACGCCTTAAATAAGAGAAATGTTTTGTCACGTTTGGCTATGCCAATGTGTGTGACGTCATCATTAACGGCCCCTTTAACCTCGAATTGCCCTCACCTCTCGTACTAGCCTTCTCTAGGTGTCACTTATAACCTCTTTAATCACAAGGAAATGTTAAAATGTTTTGCAGTGAATAAAATGTTTTATGCAATCCTTGAAGTTGCTTCATGTTAGTCTTAATTAGTGTATATTCACTATTGTAGAAACTAACATTTAATAATCTACAATACATTACAATACAACAATCTCTTTAGAAGATCAAGACAATCAAACTTGTTCTGACAATATTTTGGGGTTCTTGTGGTATATTTGCTACATGTTCCCACTTTCCATTCATTTTTCATCTCAGCAGCAATATGATTAAGGCAGATCGTCTGTGCAAAAATGTCAATTGGAAGGGGATAATTCCAGCGCTCAGAGGTTCGAAATTTGGTAGATGGAAATATTGTAAAAATCATGTAAACCTTGTTTGTACCTGTCGCTGCTTTGCAGTGATGATGACCCTCTGCAATTCTTCAAGTCTTGATTTGCGAAATTAGACAAAATTTAGGATACCTGGTTTGAGGTTATCCTCATGAACTATTAAAATTTAATGAGGTCGGGCAGGATTCTTTAGAAAACTTTATTGAAATTTTCCTCAGAGCGTAAGCATACATGAACAGCTTTTAAGTTGTCTTTTAGCATGATTTCTTTAACATAAAATGAGAAATTCCGTCTTTAACGACTCCCGCAAACTCATGGACAAGCGAAAGACGCCAAAGTACAACAAACGAAATGTAGGAACACGTCGATACCAATGCTGTTATCGTAACACGTCGATAGCAGTGATACTTACCATTAAAACTGTTATCGCCACTCTGGTGACTTTTAAACGTACCTTCAATGAAAGAAATTTCAGGATACTCCTTCGCTTTGAGATAACTTCCTATAGGATTCAACATAATGTTAAACGAAAGTTGAGTTAGAATGCTACAAGGAATTAGACGCAGTTGAATTGCAAAGAATAATGAGAATCCAACAGACTTCGTCTCACAATGCAGAAAACAACAAAGCACGTCGGGCTTTAAAAATTCATCTCTCAGAAATGAAAATCAGTCATAGAAATAAAAGGAACCAGGACGTGTGTACCGGCAGGTTGCAGAGAAATATGATGTGCCCATTCTACAGAGGTTAACGATTGACATACAATCCCATCAGCCATTGTGTTACTCTTTGTAGAGAAGCGGTGTGCACACTCGAACTTTCTGAAAAGACTGCAGCGTCTCAGTCTGATGAATTTCAAACAAGTGGAAATTTACCCTTGATTTCTCTTCTGAATTGCCCTGTGACAATCTAGAGAATTTTATCGCTAAAGAAATCAAGAAAACCGATACGTGGTATTAATGACTTTTGAAACCGAAAATAAAACATTGCCATACAAAGCAGGGGTGTGGTAAGCAGGGGTTAGAGTTAGTGTTGGGGTTTTTATACTGCTGCACAATCTGCATGTAAACAGAAGCGATAGCGCATCAGATAAACAACCTCTCCTGGAACAAACTTTTGAAACACGTTTTTTCCACGAGGCGAAATTCGCAGCTAATTCGCTTCGAAATTGTCTTTCATTTTCACGAGACTGCGAATTCGCTGCAAAATTAAATAATTCATTTAAATTTTATAATTTCCTCCAAAACTCAACTTCAAGGCGCCTATTTTAATAACTGCACGCATGGGGAATGTTCCAAGATTGTTTTCTTGCAAATCAAGCAAATTTTCTTTTGCTTTGACTGGTTATTAGTTGCTGCGAAATATTTCGCCGAGAAAAAGTAGAACTCTTTTCTACTTTCTTGCGAATTCGCTGCGAAATCAAAAATCAAAACTGCGCATGCCTTGATGCCTTCATCAGCGATTTCGCCGCGAAATTCGCCTCGTGGAAATCAGCCTTAATACTGTGGGAATGCTATGGATGCTTCGATCTCGAAGGAATTGCCATACCTTCCTAACCTAACAGTAACAGTAGTAAAATATCAAATCACTTTAAAAGAAAAACCTACTGAAAAACAAACCATACAATATCTTATTTTACCACCTACTTTATGGGAGGAACAGCAAGAGAAGATATTTACTTTATGGGAGGAACAGCAAGAGAAGATATTTCCTAGCTTTACAAAGTCATTTTTACAAAGCCATCTTTAACTTTTGTACCACGAAAAGACTGTTTAAAATTTATTCCTATACTTTTCAGTGATTGCAAAAAGCAAGTTTTGCGGTTCTCTAAAGGGCGTTGTGTCAGAAAAATTTTCTTACGGAAGCCTACACCTATTCCTATAGCCTTTTCTCGACGGCTGCCTCCCTCCAAATGCTGAAACTTTTCTGTAAATGTTTTATCTTGGTAGATCTTTACCATAAGGAGCACATTCAGGTTTCCTAGGATCTTTTTTTATGAGTAAAATTATCCAAACTTTCAGCAAATCGAACCAAGCTTTTCCAAAACAAAGCATAGCTTGCTAGATCTCATAAAATTTTCGATATATAGTGGTTGGGAGGTGGGAAGAAATTTTTATGTATGAGCATAGGTTCACAAAAAAACACAACTTTGTTGCCCCATGGAGAAGTGAAAGTTGTTCTAATTTCAAAGCTTTCTATTTTTGCTTGTAACTGTTCCCAAGTTGTCCTAGACAAAGTAACTTAAGCACTGACAAAAGAATTAATAGACATAGGAACAACAAGCAAAAAAACTGTTGTCCTGGGAAAATAGGTAAAAGAAAAAAGATAATATTTTAGCGTTGTCAAAGGGAAGTTACTCAGACCTCATTAATCTGCACGTGCGCGCGAGCGGCGCTCGCAGGCACAAAATTCATCCCAAGGCATTTCTGCAGGCACATTTCTGAATCGATTTTTATTTACCTTTATTGTATCACAGTCATGCTTTCTTTAAACATCTTACTTGGTATTGAAATTGAACGGTCAAATAGAATATAAAAGGTAGTAGTTGCAAGTCTTTATTACCAAAATGACAGAAGGTCCTTACTCTAAAGGCGCCATTTGATTCTCAAAATCAAGTTCGCTGTTTGTTTCTTTTCCTCTATTATCTCTTGGTGGAAGATATCATTAACAACTATTGTATGGCTTTTTCCTCAGAGTATTTTGTTATGACTTGTAAAACTCATTCGTGCATATGCTTAAGAAAGCACACTCCCTTAAGTTAAAGTCTTCATGCTTTTGAACCTGGTAGCCATCGATTTTTGACGTATTTGATCAAAATATTATGGTACACTTCCAAATAATCCATCAAAAACAAAATTTTTTCATAATTAGTGACAACATAAGCAAGCCTCTATTTCTTCAATTTTTGGAGTGACAGCATTTTCATTTTAAAAGTATCAAATCTTACAAGCATGATAAACTCAAAGCTAAGAAACAGAATCCTAATAAGATGCTTTTTATAATAAGACATTTCAATGAAAGTAATTGGGAATAGAACCTTTGATGGCTATTTTTCATATCTTTGAAAAAGCGTTTTTACCGAAGATGTCTTTATTTGATGAAATCGATAACAACAATAGGGCTACTTGACAACCCAAAACAACCCGTAGATAAAAACTGGTAGCATTTATTATGTCATCTGTTCAGTTTTACATGTAGTTACATGTAGTTCATGATGATATTGATAAGGTATATGCTTTTGACAAACGTAAGTTGGTGTAGCAGCACTGAGCGTAACAGGAAGGTTCTCAATTTATAGGGTGCAACTTATGACTATAAATTGCTCCCTATTTTACTTGCAGACACTTTTTTACTCAGCTTTGCGCTCGCAGGCACAAAATATTATTAATGATCCCCGCAGTTACTGAATCTCTACGGTCCGATCTAGAGAGACTCAAGTAGCATTAAGAGAAAGACACTTTCCCCATTTCATGATACAAAAAATGAATTTCCGTCTTTTGAAATAACTTAATTATAACTTGCAAATCTCTGCCTGGATGTTAGTAAGACTTTATCAGCCTTTGCTACTATGAAACATTCTTAACTTCTGTTCCTGACTCCTCTGTGGTAGAAGTTTTGTTCGCTTTGCATCTAACTTACAACAGGTTAACGTGTTGATAAAAAAGTCAGGGAGATGTCCTTTGATGACACAGGGTTTTCCATCAGTGCTTATCTCAGGTATTTCAATGCTTTCAGCAAACAGATGCAACGGTATTAGAGCACGCTGCCATGGGCGTATGTGTCCTTTTCCACTTGGGCTTGATTGTACTCCTTCAAAAGAATATAAATGCTAAAAAATATTTTGGCTATCCTAGTGTTTGCACATAATAACCAATTCACCGATACTTTCCTATCAAGAAAATGAGAATGGAATAATAATGGGGGCAACAAAACTTGGATTGGTAAAGTGGGGCATCAAAATTCTAGACCTAGAGAGATTGGTAAAACAAGGACAGATAATTGTGACCTAAAATGGTTCCCAATGACTGTGGATGTGGCATTATGATATCTGAGCTCCTCTGTTCTATACTTCTCTCTTTGAAAAAATCAAACATTTCACAACATATTACTAAAAGCTTTTTCTTCTCACTATCCTCACAGAGTATAAAACATCAGAATAGGGATCCGAAAGAACATGATGGAAAGTTCTGTACAGCCAAAAAATTGTTCACATTTCTCTCTTATAAAAGTCAGCAACTTTAGGAAGTGATTAAACAAGAAATAACATCAAACAAAAGGAATTAATAGATCTCTCTTTTATGAGAAGTATTAGATGTTAAAAGAGTCATAAAGCTTACTTGTGGAAAATCTGAAATAACCAGAAAGTTAAACAGTAAAGTGATGAAAGAAAGAATTCAATAAATCCAGGGAAGCAGAACCGCGGACTATGAAATAAAATAATGAAGAGAAAAATGTATTCAAAATAAAACAACTGACAAAAAAGCAACAATTTTTCATGGAAAACAGTATTCATTTTAGAATCAATTCTTGCAGAACCTATTGATGTGTTAGAAGTGTGCTTGCTCTAAAATGTCTACATGCTTACTAGCGTTAAGATTACATAACATTACACAAAGTTAGGGCCATCTTTGCAGCAGTGGTGGACAATTAGGGGGGGGGGGGGTGACCACCTCCCTATACTTTAGAGGTCAATGGTCTTTTGTTCTAAAACATTGTGAAATGTGACGTCATCTTATTAAAACAATAGGCTTGCCCCCAATATTTGGTAAAGTATCCGCCCCTGCTTTGCAGAAAAAGAAAGGAAATTACTACCACTGCAAGCATGGCCAAGTGTTAAAATGAAAATGGTTTTTAGCAATTATAGAAACAAGTGGAGTGTACCTTCAATCCCTAAAAGCTGCAACAATCTTAGCGGAAGCTTTTGAGGGCCACCTTCATAACTTGAAAATTTATGATCGCCAAGAATTGGGCAATTCAAGGAACTGGCTGTATGCAATCTGACTTGATGTTTGTAGCCACTTTTTGTCATGTACCTTACCAGACTGCAGGTATCCCTGTTTGAATCCAAGGTAGAGTATGCTGTGTACGCTTTCATCAATTCAGTATCAGGCAACAAAGTCTAAAAAACAAGTAATTAACAAAACAAAAATTATCATTATGTCAACTGAATTTCATTATGTCAAATTATCATTATGTCAAATTGCTGAAATTCCATGTTATTTGAAGGATTTCTCTGCATCATGTTTGATTGATCCAGATAGTGACTTATGTTGGTTTGGAAAATGCAGTCATAATGGGTGTGGCTTTGAAGCAAGGTTTGTGTTACCCTCTGTCATTGAAGATGAAAAAGCAAAATAGATGAAGTGGCAAGAATATGGTGGAAGGATTGCCAAACTTGAGATGAGTGGTAAGGTAAAAGATTTGTATGAACACATTGCCTTAATGTCCACCAAATTTCTGCATCCCTGTCACATAAAGCGACAGCAGGCAAAGAGCTACAATTCTGACAAGGAGCTTGCCTCAAATACATAAGGATAGCAAGATTGCAGTCTTGCAAATGGACGTTGCTGAAAATTACTCATGCTTTGAGCAAGATGAGGTTTAGTCAGCCCACTGGAATCAAAATCAGGTGACATTATTCACAACTGTTTCCTGGTTGAAAGGAAGAATTGTGTCACATGTCATTGTCAGCTATTACATGGAACATACCTAAACATCTATGGTAATATTTCTTGATGAAATTTTGGAAAATTTCCAACCTGACATTGAGGAGTTTCGCATTTGGACTGATGGGCCCACCAGTCAATTTAAGAATAAATTTGTGATGGAAGGAATGAAGATGGTGTCAACCAAGCATAATCTATCACTTTTTTGGAACTTTAGTGCTACTAGCCATGGCAAGGGACCAGTTGATGGTATTGGGGGATGCTTGAAGCGACTCGCAATGGAAAGAGTTAAAACAAGACAGTGCTTTGTCAACAATGCAAAAGAATTCTGTCAAGCAGTAGAAGGTTCAGGAATTGGTGTAACTTTCATATCTACAGCAGACATTTATGCAAAGGAAGAGTCTCTTCACCTAAAAGATGTATTTAGTGCTGCAGAATCAATAAAGGGGATGGATATCAGGGTACCAATATATAAAGTATAATGAAGAAATGCAGCTTGTTACAAAGGCTTATAGCACAGAATCATCTGCCAGTGCCAATGAAGCTGAGAAAATACTAGAAAGCTATGAAGGTGGAGACAAATCATTTCCCAAATTGATTGAACCCAATATAGGTCATTGGTATGCTGTTTACTGGGAGCCATCAGACTATTGGTTCCTGGGGCATGCAGTGAGAATTGACTCAAATGATGATGTCGCACTGGAATTCCTACATCAGACTTCAGCTGATGCAAACAATTTCAAGATAACAAATGATATTGAGTCTGTCTCTGTTTCTGATATCATTTTAAAAGTTGATGCCCCTATGCCAGTTTCATCATAGAGGTGCTCAACTGTAAAGTTGACAGAGAAAGACTTTGCAAAAATAAAGGAAGCCTTTGATAAGTTTCTCGAAAACTGAAAAATAATTTTTGAAATACCAGATATGCCAAGCTAAAGAAAAACGCAGGGCTATTATGAAAACAACATCAGAATAAAAGTAAATGGTAGACTCATTAATAACTTAAGGTATGCAGATGACATGACCCTGATTGATCAAAGAAGATCTGAAAAAACTTATCAGAAATGTTAAGAAAGCAAGCAAGGAAAAAGGGCTACTACTAAATTTAAAAAAAACAAAAGTAATGACGACGGCAGAAAATACCAACTTTGAAGTAGATAGGGAATCCATCGAGGTAGTACAGGAATTCAATGTTCTTGGCTGTACATTAACGAGAACCTCTGATCACACAAAAGAAATTAGAAGGAGGCTAATGCTGGGTAGGAAGGCTATGACCAATTTGACAACGATAATGAAAGACAAAAACATCACACTAAATACCAAGATAAGAATAATCGAAGCATTAGTATTTCCTGTTGTTACATATGGAAGTGAGACATGGGTAATAAGAAAAGCAGAAATGAAAAAGATTGAAGCCTTTGAACTTTGGGTATGGAGAAGACTCCTAAGGGTGCCGTGGACATCTAGAAGAACGAATGAATGGGTACTAGGCCAAATAAAAACAGAAAGATCATTATTCAACACCATCAGAAAGAGGCAATTAACCTATTATGGCCACATAAATAGAGCAGACAACAGTTTAGAAAAACTGATAATGCAAGGAAAAATTGAAGGGAAAAGAGGTAGAAGAAGACCTGCAAGAAAGTGGTTTGACAACATTAAGACGATGACAACAAGAAATGTTTATCAGCTCAACAAAGACACTAAAAATAGAGCTGAATGGAGACGTCAGGTTCATAACATCACCAGGGGTCGAACGACCTGAAGGACAACTACAACAACATGCCAAACTATTGATTTGATGGCCTTTATGTATCATTTAGTTCTGTGAAAAAGTTCTGATTTTCATGTTACACTTCCAGAAACTGATTTAAGCTGAGTTTCCTTCAGTTAACTCTCACTTGTCACACGAGTCACATTTGTGGGTCACACGAGTCACATTGCATTGGTTTTGTTATTTCAAAAAGCAAAAAAACCTTCAATTGAAATTTTATATTCATATGGTGACTCAATGAGTAGGGACAATCTTTTAAAAAGCTTCTTTATAAAGGTTTTAAAATTTCTCAGATAAAGTAAGATAGGCAACTGCGAGTAAAGACTTTAAAAGTGTGACGGTCACACGAGTCACACCAGATGAACAAAAATATTGCAGAGGTAAGCAAGTTTTTTGGAACAAAACATTGCCAAGATAAAGAATGGCTCAAGGGGATTCTATTATTGTATCACAATTATGACTTTACTAGACAACTAAATATGTGTGTGACTCTATCACGCCAGTCACTATGGAATGGTTTGAATTTGAAAAAATAACCTGGCCTTTTTTCTTTGTTTCAGCTTTTCTGTCTGCTAATTCTGTTTATGAAAACTTTGCTATAAGCAATTTTCTGGGCAGGGATTTATGGTATAGATCATAGTCTATTGGCAATTATCTGACTTTTGCTGGGCCCATGCCACAAATTTGAAAGTGGGGGAGGCAAGGCTAGAAAAAAAGGGGGCCAAGGTTTAGCTTTAAAACTACTTGCTTTGCAAAAATGTGGGGAAATGTGGGTGGGGGGCATGGCCACCCTGGCTTCCCTGGTTGTTGGGCTTTGTTTTGAGAAAAATTTTACCCCAGTGACTTAGTATTAGCATTATAAAATAAAAGGAAATTGATGCTCGAAGAGGTAAAATCACAACTTTGCCTCTGTGAAAAAAAGACTTTAAACTGCTAAAAGGAAGGTAAATAAAGGAGTTTTAGTTAGACTTAATGCCAGATAATATAGACCAACTGAATCTTTATAAAGACAGCAGTCAATATCCTTGATTTTTATGTGACTTCTCTTCAATATAAGGAAACCAACAAATTCAAAAACATACAACAGCTTCCCCACGTTGAAGGTCTTTCGCAGTAACCATTCTGTGTCGTTTTTGCTTGCCAACCACGCCTTCACAAATTCTATCAACAACAACACCATTAGCTTTCCGAGGCAACCCTACTGTAATACCCAAATATGTCTTGCTGATTTTTCTCTCTTCAAAAAGCTTTGCCATTTTCCTTGTCATGTCATCATTATATGATAATAGCAAAACCCCACATGCATACTTATCCAGCCTGTGCAAAAGTGAAGGTCTTGTCTTCAAATTGTGAATCTCTGCGAAGTTATCCATTAGATCAAGAACACTAGTTCCTTGTCCTGGGCCGGAATGAACAGGCAAACCATACGGTTTAGAGATTGCCACAAGCCCATCCTTTTTGTAGACGATGTTCAAGTCACTTGCGGTGATTGATTTTAAACATCTAGAGAGTTCTTTCCATCTTCTAACAACAGACCAACTGCCCTCCATGTTTAGAAAACAACACACGTGAGCAAAAAACAGTGAGCGCTGCGAAGCCAGTTGCCTCATCTTCATCTAAATCAACCACTTGCAAAATGGCCGCGACACTGTTCCTGAACAACAGTCACGATCTAGATCTTCTGCTTGGATTTCTCCATCTACCTCCAAAATCGATTGAAATTAGCAAAAAGAAAAGGCATGGAAGCCAAGAAGTATCGGTAATCACGGAGATTTATTTTCTCTAAACACACGACCCTACAAAATGTTTTCGATCCACCATGTCATATGTCAGCTAGGGTCTAGGGATATAAGCATTTGTTTCCCGATCGGGAGAAATAAACGATATTTCTCCTGATCGGGAGAAATTTCTCCCGATCGGGGGAAGTTTTAGACTCCGTTTACACTTATGTCGGTACCATGCCGGTATGATTTGACGCCGGCATGAAACCATGCCGGTATGGGGGTAAATCCTTAATTTTCTTGCACCCTGTTTACACTATACCGGTATGATATATAATATCACTTAAGAAAAACAATAGCCGATATGTTAATCATTGCCTCATGTTGAAAGTGGCATGAAATGACATCGGTACCATGCCAGTATGACCCGTTTACATGATGTTGTTACCACACCAGTATAGGCGTATGGGGTAAGTTAAGCTAGTGGGGAGGGGCTGAATCTTTTTTGCCCGAAAAATAATAACACCCAAATACGGAGTAAACTCTAACACATGTGAGCTTCTAATATCTGTCAAAAAATGATTAAAATGTAACGTCGTTAAAAAAAATGTTAAATAATAAGTATTTTCAGAATAAGCATTTAAGCATTTCACAAATTTTTTCCACGACATCAAATAAAAATATCTACTATTTTATCGATATCTTTTTGTTAATGTGATTTGCATCATTTTTAGCAATTCACACACTTTTTTGCTTACCTGCCTATTCTTGTGATTATTGAACAGTTTGTGTTCCATTTCTTGGAGGTCAGAAACTCATAATCTATTGGATAGAAAGAGCTTAATGACGATTTCTGTCGAATTCTCAGCATTCACGCTTGCATTCCTATATCACGGTCAATAGCATAACACAGTTTGGGGCACATTGATTCAGCATTTTTCAGCCTTTTTTTCTACTGCACATTATTTGCAGACAATTTTTTTTCAATTTTTTAGACAAATTAAGTAAAATTAGAGAATTTTCAATGGCACACTAGGCAATACCTCAAGGCATGCTAGTGTGTGGTAACACTGTGGTTGAAAACATTGCTTTTGTTTGATAACCAAGAGCTCCCAACAAAAGGGGGCCCAAGGTGCTTTTACATCCATATCTTTAAAGCTTTGAAAGTTCTTCAACTTTTGAAAGTCTCTAAAACTCAGTTCCATCTAGCTGACGAGATAATAATTCTCATTTTTATCCTTTTCTATTGTGTTTGACATGCTCACACCATTGAATGTGACTTCCTTGCTGTCCGTGAATAGATGTCCCGTAGCAGTTTTTTTGCTTAGGGCACTAGATGCCTCTGTTACGCCAAAGCACATAAAATTTGTTGAGTCTCGATCACTAGATCGAGCATAGATTTCTTCCAAAACTTTATCAATTACATTGTAGAATCAATTGAACAGATTTTTGTTTTCTAGATGGGTTTTGGGGTCTTTATCCTTGCAAAGAAAATAAGTGTCCTGTCCACTGCCTTCACTGACTCCCACTGGCAAGCCCAGTGCCTTGCGCTTTGTCCAAATTACATATATGACAGTTCATGTTCAACTTTTCTCTTGAAATTTCATGCCTTTTGGGGTTTGCTTCAATGAAATAGTAGAGACCTTAAGCAATACCAAGTCCATTTCTAATTCACTCACTTTCTGGAAAATTAAACTAATGTCCAAGGCAATGGACATAAGTGCTCAGCAGAGAACAGTCCTCCATTTGCTTTGACAAGCCCTTGGCTTTGCCGCTAAATTTAGACTGTCAAATCATTTGACAACAGGTTTCTACATACGCTTTTAAGCCCAATTTGTACAAAGCTCCCTAAGCCCCCAATCCCGTACGCCTATGCACACTTGCATGAACCCATACCGGTATGGCTATTGACATGGTTTTAATCCAGATTAACACCTTTTCATACCGGCATGGTACCGACATAGTTTAAATGGGGTCATAATAAAATGTCTCCCGATCCGGAGGAGAAATCATGCTCACTTTTTCTCCCGATCAGGAGAAAGTATTGCTTTTTGGACAACAATGTATGAAGGAGCTTCTAGCGGGTATTTTAAACATCATTTTTGAAATCTACACCATCAAATCCTTAAATATCCATGAAAAAAATGGTAGGTCACCCTTGAAAATCATTCAGAAGTTGCATTTGAAGTTTTAGTGATGTCATACTCTATTGTAATAGGTATTGTTCTAGGAAAAAAAAGGTTCAGGTGAAGTCGATATTTTGGTAATCTAATGTTTTACTTTACCTTGGAGATATTTTTAAGGGTTATGCAAAAATTACAGCAGCTGAAATTTATGGATTTTTGACACACCCTCCCCCAGTCACCATCGTGTTACCAGCTTTCTGATCCCTTTTGGACTCTTAGATTAGGGTGACTAAATTTGAAGAACTCATGGCAAGGCCCTTTTCATAAAACTCAACTGGCTGTTGCTCTATAGGCCCACTCTTCATTTTCAGTATTTTATAAGAGAGCTGTCCTTCCATATCTTTCAAATATGTTAAAGAAAGCTTCAGAGACTCTGAGCATTAAAAAATAAATGAAAAGAAATGATGTATGGATCAAGAATTTTGAGCACCTTATTTATTTCATTACAACAATGTGGAAGCATTGTTTCTTTAAATGTAAATGTAGAGATTACCTCACAGACAGTATATTATCTGAAACTTTATTAAACTGAAAATGAAAGCAAGTTTTCATCACTTTGCTTGTGATTCACATTATTTAAGAATATTCTACATGCATAGATATACAAATACTCACATACATTACACTGTAAAGTTAGTAGTTTTCTCTGACTTAGTGGTACTGCCACCAAAGAGAAAGCTTGAACAATAACTACATCTCATAAATGATGTCATCAAAAACTAAACTCTCCAATAAGCTCAAGATTTCCAACAGTGACATACATATTTTTTTGATAAACTCCCGTTTTTTGACATGCAGAATTCAAATATTTGATCAGAAAAAACCGCCCAAGCCTCTTTTATCATGAAATGGCAATTTAAAGGAAAAACTCTCCCGGTCAGGAGACAAAATTTGAGCTGCCAAAGATTTGAATTCTCCCAAACAGGAGACAAAATGCTTATATCCCTACCAGTATTCACTTGTTATTTTTTATCATACTTGTTACTTTTTATCAGAGCTTGAACATTTTTTTTCTAAATTTTGTCCCTCACATTTGGTAAAGGGTGTGACGTTTGGAGGTCTGTGGGTGGCTTGTGTCAGTCATCCAGTCATCAAGTGGGTTTTGTTAATAGTCAAAACAATTGCAAAACAGATGTTCCCAATCGTTTTGCTTTTATTTCGCATATATTTTTTATACCAAAAGCAAATCGCACTTTCAAGTATGCCAAAATTGCCCTTAAGAAAGATTTACTCTGCACCTAGGTTACTACATATCAGAGAAAAATGTGGACAAAGTGCATCTTAATAGTGGGTTTTTACATAATATCATCTCCATTTTGGCCAGAGGACTTGCTTCTTTCCAATCAAAATTAATGAATTATCACTTCAGCAGTACAGTTGAGACCCAAACACTGTTCATCATCTAGAAAATACTATTTTTCTAAAAGATTACATCGAAAAAGTGGTATAGAAGATACCATCTAAGCAGGCCTGTAATTACTATAATTGTTCTTAGGAGGCAAGTGCCTGCAACAATTATAGGAGTATGTTATTTCTAAAGAAAAATCCCTTTTGTCACAATCTATCCCTCCAGCAGTTACATCCTATTCTTTCTAATGACCAGAGCATATTTTGACAAACTACAGCAGATAAGAATCTCGTTTGTAGATAATTTTTGGTAGCATATTGGTAAGTTTCATTGGATATAGATTAAAGTACATTTCTTTTCAGGGTCCAGCATTTCAACAAGGAGAAGCTGTAGTATCAGGGATTTTTACTGTTGCTAGACAACTTGTCAAATTTGCCGCCAACTTATCACCTGAGGCAAAAGTTTTGAATGTTTCAAATGTGCTTGAAAACTCACAAATTCAGCAATGGCTCCTTTATTGTGAAACTCATCTCAAACCATCACTAAATGATTCGCAAGAAATGCAGCACAGAGCAAAGGTGAGTGGGAGCATTGCAAGACTGTCTGTTCTTAAATAGAATGATTCTGTTAAAAATTCTGTAGATTTTCATCTTTGCACTGTGTTGGTAATATTTTTAATAGGCCAGCAGTACAGATTGGACAACATTAACAGTTATGTGATCATGTTTCTGATTGGCCTATTTTAATCTACAAATACTGTAGGTATATTCATGTTCCATAACTTTAAGTTTTCAGACGTTTTGTACTCCAAAGAGTTACAGACAAAAAACTCCAGTATGTTACAAGATGTTTCCTTTTTAAAAGCAATTTTAAAACATATAAATAGAACTACTTAAAAAGAACATCAATTTGAAACAAAGAATGACATAAAAAGTTAAGATATAAACAGTGCTGAATATTTTCTATTATTTCATCACATTTCCAAATGTAAAGATAAATTATGATTAGGTAACTTGGTATCTTTAATGTGTTTATAAACCATAATTATGTGTGTTATGTTGTCTATGTGTGTTTTTAATTATGGCTTATTAACATATTGAAGGTACTAAGTTACCTAGATATAATTTGTCATACAGCACACAGGATCCCATTAAATCCTTGGCCCAAGAAACCAGTGACTGAAAACACAATATAAAGATAATTTTTCTGAAAAAACTTTCTGGTCAATATCGATAAACACTCAAGGTAGATCTTCAATTTTCTATACAGTGGATCAATGCAATATTTTTTAAAAGCCTGGTTATGTGATTTAAAATCTGTATACAAAACTGACAGTTAATTTTTGTGGTCAAGTAAAGCTGTCTGACAATACATATCCAAGGAGCAGCATAGACAAGGAAAGTGGGATGATCAATTATATACAGGCATGTCAGAAAGTGAACACAGCTCTGTCAATGCTTCACATGATTGTGAGAGTGATTGCGATGATGAATGTGGATTTTATGATGATACTGGTGGTTCTGGTGTTTATGTTCAGTCATGGGGTTTTATTCTACAATCCCGGACAAAATTGTTGTGACAAAATGCAATTTTTTCAATATTCACTTTACCTTTCCCCTGTAAATTCTAATCCCCGTCCTCCCCCCCCCCCCCAAATCAATGCTTGATTTGTAGTTTTATCATTTTTACTTCAAAATGGTAGAGGGGGATTATTTTCCAAAGGAAAGAGAAAATATCAACTTTCCTTGAAAAGTTTCAATTATTTTTGTCTGGGATTGTAGTTTTTAATCTGAGCAATGGCTTTTTGGGAAATGACTTTTAAACTAATTCTTGTAAACTATCAAAAACTTGTACCTTACTATTTCTTTTTCAGAATTTGAACACTTATCATTAAATAATTTTTTTTCCTAGGAACTCAATGACCATTTCTGTAGCCAAACCTTTGCTGTAGGGAATCATATTTCTTTGGCGGACCTCTTCATCTTTCAAGCAATACATCCTTACATGGTAAGGCCAATTTGCAAAACCAATGTCACTTTGTGGTTTGCCTTTATTAGTTGCAAAACAAACTAATGAACTGTTCTTTCTTAACAATTGTCATTGTACTTTCTGTGGTTTGACAAATTTAATCATTTTTAACTTTCTTTTACTTTTGACAGATTACACAGTCATTTCTGGAAAAGGAGAGACTTATACACATTTCACGGTGGTTTAAAAATGTAATAAATTGACTTGAACTCTGCAAATCTTTACCTGCTATTAAAGTTTGAATTTTTATGCTTTTTTCAATACATTTGTAGTTAGGCTATACTGGATCTACAAGTTGAAGGCATCATTAGAGGAATGTGCCAAAAAGCTACAATTTGCACTTTAAAAAGCACCAAACCATGTAGGCGATTGTTTATTTGTTTAGGGACAAAAGCTCAGCCATGGTATTTGTCTAAATTAGATAGCCGTATCTTTTGCATGTCGGTCCATTTACTGGAATAGTTTTTCTATGAACTTCAACTTAAGCAAATCATGTACTCTAAAGTCATTTGTTTTGTAATTTTGATTTCAGAAAAAAGGAACTTAAGAAAGAATCACACTTAAAACATTTTAGGCTTAACATAATTGTGAAAATGATCTTGATGATGAATATGAATAAGATATTTGAAAAAGTTTTTGAATACGATAACTGCTAACTTTTTTCACATTCCTCAGTATAATTTATTTTTCTCTCTTTTTAGGTGCAGCATACACTCAAGGCAGGACAAAAGTTTTCCCATGTGCCTTTCCACAGAACAGAGTTGTACAGCAAATAAACATAGATGAAACCTCAAAAATATTTTTCTGCCAAAAGACAGTTTCAATTAAATTGTCTTTATAATGAACACTTTTATCAGACATCAAAATTAAGATTTTATTAACAAGAAACAGGTTACAACTTTCTTGTCCTTCTTCAATACCGACAGCACTACTTTATTTCTGCCAGTAGATTTTTAAAATGCAGGGATTCTAAGTTAAAAAATGTTAGGGTTAGGCATGGTTGTGATTTCAAATTTTTCATGCAAAATTTCCCTATTAAAATTACGAAAGACATCAAAAAAAGTAAACTTGCAAAGAAATCAGGGATTGCATGTTTTTGATAAAAAAAAGTCATATGGGTTAATTTAAAATACCAATATAAGATCAAGCTGAAATTTAAATTATTTCAAGGTATTTCTAAATATTTACATTTTTGACCTTTTCAGCAATATATTATAAACTTGCTAGTAAATCAGAATTTTGAAATAAAATCAAATAATTTTACATTTATACATTCAGATAAAACAAAATACATTATTACAACGAGTAATAAATTAGTCTACAAGTAAAATTTTGCCTATGTCTACAACTACAAGTATATAGAAATACCTTGATTACTTTAATGTCTTTTATACTTATTAAAAAATGTGATGCATTGAAAAGCTTAGATCTGCTTTACCTATGTAGCAAACAATAGTCTTAGTGTGTTCCACAATGTATGAGACTTTGTATGCCATGAAGTTCCATTGATAAACAATGCATGTAAACATCCTTGTCTGGATACACAGCTTTCTCCAAAACTTGATACATGAAATTTAATTTCTTTTGGCCCTTGAATATCTTGCTAATGTCCTAGTCAGCTTTGACAACTTCCCATTCACTGCACTGCAGTTAATTTCTATTTGAACTCTCCAGCCAATCATTTAACTGATATATTCTCTGTGTTGCCTTTAAAAACATTTCCCTGGCTTTATAACCTTAAGAGTTCTTTTTTCTGAAGGACTGATTTGAGTTTTTTCAATATTTGTTGGGTACTGAAATGTCATTGAAGCTGCAAATTCATTTAACTTATTCAGTTCCTGTTGCCAGCCAGGTATTTTCTTTGTAGCAAGATGCCTTTTTGCATGTTTGGTCAGATGATCTGAACGCATAAACCTCCTACCACATAACGGACAACCAAATCTTTTTTCACCCGTATGTGTTCTTCTGTGTCTTGCTAGTTCATCTGATCGTGCAAATGACCTTTCACACTTTTCCCAATCACAGCTAAATGGCTTTTCACCTTGAGGTACAAAAGAATTGTTTTTCTCAGGTTTTAAAGTTATTTAATTTCTCAAAGTTACTGAACTTGTGCATAAAAGTTTAACTCTTTAAGGCCATGAACAATTTCATCTATTCAATATATAAATAAATACCTAATCACATAGAAAAAAACCACACCTTTCAAATAAATATCATTTTATTATTAGTGTGAGTTGCAAATTATGTTGTGGTAGATCAAGGGACATTTTGACCTATATACTATTATAAAAATAATTATCTAGGTGCAAATCTACTTCACCATACTGAAAAATCCCTACACATCTATGCTCAAAACAGAAAAAATTAAAATTGAATCTTACCTGTATGAGTGCGAATATGAGCTTTAAGATGGGAACTTTTGAGATATGATTTTCCACAGTTTTCATAGGTACATATATGATTTCTCTGGCGATCACTGCTTGAAGATACTTTGTCGTTAGAGTTTGCATAGCTGTTCTGACTGCTTTTCCCGAATGTTTTGGTACTTGCTTGTGGAACTGGGCACAGTATAACAATTGCTGTTGGTGCACCTTTGTGCTTATGTATTGATGCCTGGGTGATTGGCATTTGGTTGGTGATGCCTTGAAATTGCACTCGGTTCGAAAAATTGCTATCCAGGGTCTAAGAATTCAAAAATATTCTGTTTAAAAATAGTAATAACAAGAGAAAATTCGTAATTCATTTATTTATGGGAAAAGGAAGAGATCTACACTGTTGTTAAGCACAATCTGAAGCTGAGCTAATACTCCAAAATGAACTTTTGAACAATGTTTTATCTCAAAAACAAGGATTTTTTAGCCATGTGTGGGTGCTTTTTTCGGGGAAAATTCAAATTTGGCAGCAAACGAGGGTTGTCTCAATCACTTTGTTGGCAAATAAGGCCTGAACATTTTACCAGAACGAAAAGCTAGCAATAGCACTGCTTACACCCTCTTAATTTAAGAACAAAATAAGAACAATCCAATTTCGAAATTCAATCCAAGCCTCAGATTTTCGAAAAAACTAGGAACAGTCAGCCTTGACTTAAATTTATGGGTTCTTATTAAAAGGGTGTATCAGATTTAAAGGGAAAAGCCAGAAGCTCATTGTCTACTCCAGAACTGATGAATCAGCAACTCCCTAAAATATTCCTTACAAAGTTATGATCATGCAGCGAGTAAACAAAATCTTTACAGTCTGCCATTGTTTAAAAAAGTAAAACGTCTTTCCACTGTTGTTCAGGTTAACTTTTTCAATGAATCGCTTTGCAGTAAACCCGGTATACAAAAGATTCTCATGTGATCAAGTATTTTAAAGCGATATCACTTCCTGCCCACACCTTTGGCCTCTTTTGTGTTGGCCAAATGAAGGCCACGGGGAATGGCAAGTGTCAGCTGACTGGTTGGGTGAAGGAAAAGTCACATGAAACATGGCACGGAATCAATTTACACATGAAAATGATCTACCTCACGTACAAGCCCTTGCAATGTTTGCTGAGTTACTTAAACAATTTAATGGAAGGGAGCGTTTAACAAACCCTACAAGTGCACTCTACCAAATAAACTGCATAACCTAAGAATTAGTGCAAATTAGTGAATATTTCTTGGTAGATAAGGGACATAACGGGGTGAAACAAACCAGCATGGAAGTGTGGCGGGCGACATTGGTGCAATATGACACCACTAAATAAATTTTATGAAGAAAAATGAGAGGAAAGAATTCACTTCAGTGTAAGGCTTACAATTGAATGAGCATCTTAGAGGGTATTTTCATCCCAGTATCAAATTATTTTCAATTCAGCATCGAAATATCATACAATAACAACTTTATTCACTCAATTAGGTCCAAAACTTACCGTTCTCTGATTTTGAGAGAAATCTTCGTATAAATGTTCAAATTTGGTAGATTCCACATCATCTTCAGTTGAACTGAGCTCGTATTCATCAAAACGAGTTCTACTTTCGGACTGGGGTGGACTTGGAGGTGACCATTTGCTCATTGCTAATAGAGATTCTACTGCCTCTAAATCACCAGCAGTAGAGAGCTTAACAGATCCTGCTTTTAGATTTCTCACGAGATCATCCTGAAAAATAGATAAGTCGATCTCATATCTGCTAAGACTTGGCAAAGAAATGTACAACGTCCACATTTTAATGCAAAAACATAACATCTTGGACATTCACAGACCCCAAAATTTGTGAAATTTCCCGTTATCAAAAAGTTTTTTTTCATTGAAGGAAGGGGAGATATGCAACTTTCATAAAGGCGAATTTCATCATAACATGAAACTGACTTACCTCAGATGTAGCACAAGGAGAACTTGGTGGTGAAGGCAATATTCCAGCCATCGTGGATTCAGTGTTCAATTCGAATAATTTTATGGACTCTAACAACTGTTTTTGAAGATTTAATATCGAATAAATCTGTGCGTGAGGTAGCGTCCTTTACTAAAGCAAACCAATTCCTCAATACCATTTTGTTTTGATGGCTAGACCTGCCATACCAAAAGTACGTAGTTCATAAGGGGTGGATTCGGGGTTTGACCAATGAGCAAAGAGGACTCACTTTGACGGAACCAATCAGCTTAAACTGCCCATATGTCTGTTCACATGATTCACAACCTACACGTGCCCAATAAAGGACTTTGGTCTGACTAAAGCACCCATACTTGACGATGATTGGATAACAAACAATGGACAACATCCTGGCTTCGTTGCCAAGAGAAACCTGTCAAAAGTCACAAGGCAACTGAACGCCAGAAAGAGACCAGGAATAGAAGTGAAGAATTCACCAAAAAAAATCGAATTTGTATGAATTCCGCAACATTAACCAAGGGAGGCAAGATTACATAATTACAAATTAAAAGAATAATGAAAGTTAGAATTTATATAATCTTTGAAACTAAATAGTAGTATTCATGGATGTAGTCATAAAAGTTTAACAAGGGGGGGGGGGGGGGGGGGGGGGGCTCTATGAAATATTTAATTCATTCTTGCAATGTGATCTTGCAATTTGCAGCAATTTGAACATGGCGAGGGTTGATATTTTTCCGGTCATTTGCTGCGCGCCCAGGCAGTGGCGGACTGGGCCTCCTTTAAAATCTGGCAAAAAGGGCCCCACTTTTGCAGAAAAAGGGCCCCATTTAAGTAATGTGGGGCCTCAAGCTGTCCCATTACGAATAATAAATATCATGGATTACATCAAAACTGAGGTTGGATAAACGCCATAGCATGTGGTTATAGAATGGATTGGGTCGAAGCTAAAAAAGAATGACCTTTTTGGTTACGAGAGGTTAATAGAGGTATTGAATTTTTAATATGATGGAATTTTCTGAAATTTTTGATCTTACATAGACCCAGGTTCAGTTAATCTGCCCGGCATTAATTGTAGAGTTCACTTAAAATAGCATTAGATAATGCGATGTGAATGATTCTTCAACGGAGGTTGCTGCATCGTTTACTGAATAATCTAGTTTTTTGCTTGCGCTGGACTGTTTAGTATAAAACACGAACGGGTAAGGTATTGCCTCATGGAATGAAAAATTGGCATAAAAAAGATGTCAATAAAATGGCAAGAATTAGCCAAATTGCACATAATGGACGAATAAACTCCGCATCGCAAGTGGTTTTCAGAAAGGAAGGCAAAGTTGATGCAAAAAGGGGACAGGACTGATCACTGGTTTCTTGGAATGCAAATTAAAGAAATGCATCTTCTGGTAGCATTTGATTGAAACGGTCTTCGAAATGATAAACGATAATAAAGTTTGATAAAAAAGATAATAAAAATGATGATAAAGTTTTGTGAAAAATATAGTTTGTAAGCACGCATTAAGTCTAAAATACGGACAGCAAACCAATTTAACGGATGATTACACAAAAATTAAAGGAAACTTTCTTGCTATGATTTAGCTATAATATCATGATTAAGATATCAAATTTTCGTATATAGAAATGATTCACTTTGGCTTTATTTGTCGCTCAGCAAGTTTTTCCATTTTGAATTTTTGATAGAAATTTATACAATCCAATAGACGTTCAATGCATTCAGCATGTGAGCCACAACTTCTACAAAGCGAATCAGTGTACCTTCCTTTTCTAGTTTGCTATTTTTAAGTCTGCCATCTTTAGTTTAAGTTTCAGTAAAGATAAGGCTTCCTCCCACCTCAGATATTCTGTAATTTAAACTTACTATCCTTTATGCATCTGAGGTAAGTTTTCTTATAACTTTTAACTTTGTTTCTTCGAGAAAGTCTCTTGTGCAAAATTACTGAAATCTAAATCAGACAGAATTTTTTACGATTTAATGTTAAATTTCAATTAGTGTACTCAGCGCCCATTTGTAATCAACAGCTCAACTTTGCTATTAGTGCTACATATGCTATGTTGCTTAGAAATTGATCGATTATGGGGAAATGCTCACTTGACGACGCCCTTATTTTCAGACCACACCCACCTGGGCCCCTCCAGTTATTTGTGGCCGGTTAAAAATTCTGTGCCAGTCCGCCACTGCACCCATGGGAGGGTCGAGGGGGGACTTCAAAGAAAATGAGAAAATGCATCAAAATATTTACAACATCGATAAGGAAGATCCTAACCAATATTTATAAGCTTTATTTTCAATAATTATGACCCATTGGTTGAATTTTATCTGAATTGATACATTTTCTCTCGTGCTTACAAAACAGAGCAGATTTTATCAGCTTATGAACCATGCTTCTAAGAATGTCATGCAAAACTGTTATTCAGCAGACTTAGAAAGTATTCGTACTTTGCAGAAAAAGAAAAATCAATTTTGAAAAAAAAACAATAATAAGATCACCCGAGCTAGAAATTATCCCAAAAAACAAGAACATCAAATGTCAGCAAAAAATATTATGCTTTTATATAAAAGAGTGTAATGCACCGGATATTAAGAGTAGGCAAGACAGAGACAAACAATAGCGACCAAATAATTGATGATTCAGGAAATTAAGCCCAAATGTAAATACAAAAATTAAAAATCAACTGTATTTACAAAACTGCAACTAAACGCAGTCAGTAAAAAGTCTTTCACGAATTTTAAAACTGAATATTTCAAACTTTATGTTCATTTTCATGCATATAAAACTTGCAATGCGTTTAAATTTGCCAGTTGTATCGCTGTTTTTGCGAAACATGATATTTTTCTGTATTCAAGCACAGACAATGTGGGGGGTCCCTGAGCCTAGCAGGGCTTCACTGCCTAAGCCCCCGCCCCCCGCCACTACATCCCTGGTAGTATTGGGGACTTTATGCAGGACACTGAGGAAAACCAAAACGGCGAATAAACCTCGGTGCTCTAGGCCCTACGTGCTTACATCATAGGCAATTTGTATTTATAAACAATAAACAGATAAGGTTGTAATGACGTTTAGTGGCGTCGGAATGACACTGATTCCCATCCATTAAATTTATTCAACATATACAGTAGAAACCCGCATAAAAGAACCTGTTTTGATAAAAACATTGAGGCTGAAATTTAACCTTTAAAACCCCATAATCAAGAACCCTAAAGAGGTTGAAATTTGGAAAGGTTCTTATATATATATGTAAGAAAAAAGGGTTTTTAGAGTCAATCAGGATATGGTATGTTGCATTCTAATTGGACAATCTAACAACACAAAATCATTTGATTGGTTGAAATTCAACATAAAAAAGCTGGTTTAAGTTTGTCCATTAGAATTCTTGCGGTGGAAAACATTGTTAATGTGTGCAAGGCCTATACGTATATAAGAACCTTTAAGAACCTTTTAGACTGGAATTGAGAATAGCAGCCTGTTAATTAAGAACCTATTCAGGCTGCCAGAAAAAACCTAGGTTCTTTAATGCGGGTTTCTACTGTACCACAGGATGACATTATTGGGGGGCTCCAGCCAGCAAGTTGAAGCTTAGACTGACTATTCTTAATTCTTCCGAAACGTTGTGTCTAGACTGTTCTTAGACTATTAGGCTGTAAGCAGTGCAATCACTATCTTTTATGTTCAATGGTTTCAGGCCCTATTTGCTATCTTTTATTTGCGACATGTTTTTGAAAATTCACCCACAGAGCACCTCTAGATGTACCCTGGGTACCAGACTCAACCTAGATGGCTTTTGAAGTGGAATTTTTTAAAGAAGCTTTACAACTTTGTTGAAAATTGCATTTGAAAGCGATTTCTTAACCTTTGACCAATTATGAGACTCGTGCTTCTTATAATTTTTTTCCAAAATGAGAGTGCACGACTGCACGTTCCTTTCCTTTCAAAAAAATGCTGTTTTTAAGAATATTAAAGGATATATCTTGTGTTTTCAAAAAGCGTGGTTTTATTCAGGATCGGAGAATATATTTAGACTCAAAAAAAAATTCATTAGAATTTCAAGACTTGACCAATTTTTTTATGCTTTTGTAAAAAACAGGTTTGTAAAAATTTAAGACTAAATTTAAGACAAAAAACTAAATTTACAAAAAAGATGAAACAGGGTTTATATCAATAGTTTCACAGAAAAATTCGGAGCAAAGTGCCTTAGCCAAACCCCCAAAATCCGTTGAGGCATACTCACCCTTAAAATAAGATATGGATGCTGCAAGTGCATTTTTAGGGACTGTGAGAAATAAAATTGTAAACATTAATATAAGGAGCCTGAAGGGTTCTGAACTCACGCTTTGTGACAAAGATGAGGTCCGTCAGTGCTGTTAGCTGTCTTTTTGGATTAGGGGACCAAAAAGGATTGAAACAAATTTAAACAAATGAAAAAACTGTCATTCAAACACTGGAGGGTTTTGCATTTACGAAAGGCCTGGATTTGAAGTAAGTGAAGTGTGTATCAACATGAATGACATTACATTGACGTAAATTTGGCCTTTTCATGGAAGCCAAGGCAGAAAAGTCATTTTATGGAGAAATTATTGATAATGATTCTAGGCTTAAAGGGATCAAATAATCAAGGCGTAAGTCAAGAACATACATTCAGGCCGTGAATTAGAGGGCTTAAAGAGGGATAAACATTTACATCTTTCATTACAACATGCTTTGCGTTCGTTTACAACAATGATACTCATCCATTACAAATACTTTCCCTTTTTTTTACATGGTCCAAAAGTATTGCTAACAATCATTCGTTCTCCTGACTTGCAAATTCAGGTTATATTGAAAATATTACACATGAAAATTTCCATTTACTCCCACAAACTTAAATACTCAGTGAAACCTATTGTTTGAGAAAATGAAAGGTTGGTGAACAGATTCATTCTACAAACCAAATAATGTAATAACTATTGACATCAACTTACATTTAACAATCGGCTGCTGAAACTTTTATCGCTCTTATCCACTACACTAAGTTTTTTCCCTTTCTCGTAGTTTCAATTTTTTTCATTGCACTTCTCATTTCGAATTTATTCACTCCCCCCCTTTACACATATGTAGAGCATTACAATTACACCACAATGCATTCATTGTAGCTTGAATTGGAGTTGAGAATATACCCAAAGACCGAGATACAACTTTTTGTTTGGGGGGCCACTTCTGATAAATCAGTGTAACGATAGCTAATTTTACAAAATTAAAGTATTTTACTTATACAACTTAAGATTTTTTTTGGAGGGGGGGCAAAGTCCCCTCGGCCCCCGGTATCTCGGTCCTTGAATATACCTTTTCAACTAAGGGTTTCATAGTGTCGCGTACGATTCACATATGCATTGCTTGAAATGGATTGGACTACTGTGATTGGATGGACGCCGTTCATGTACACCAATGGCATTAGGTTAGGTTTAACTTCATAATCATTTCTTGCTAAACTCAAAAGCAGTTTTAAAATTCAGCTCGGTAGGTTTCTGTTTGATTCTTTCGAAAGGTTTTCAGCATGGGCAATGTAGGATGTTTTGCTGAAAATATTGTTGGGATAGGTAAACATTTTTCACCAATTGGAAACTATACAATTTTAGCACGTGACGCGACGATTCGAGAATGGTACCCATTGCGATCAAACATGATTATCGATATACGTCTTATTTCTCATTACTGGCTAAACCTGCGGGTTTTCTTCTCAAAAGCCAAACATTTTCCTGGCCGTCCCTTCTTTTTCAACATTGTAAAGCTACGCTCTGCACCAAGAAGCGAGAATTAAGAGAAAAATTTGTGCACATGTTACACCTTTTTGCGTCTTCTGCATATAGAAATTAGCTGCTATTAAATTACTCTGTTTAAAACGAAAATTGTAACAGAATTACGCGATGATTATCTGTAATGTATAAATAAAATCACACGTTTTACAGAAAGAAAGAGCAGATAGCAAATAACTGCGACCAGATAGCATAAAGGCCGCGAGCAGATAGCAGAAGGGGGCGAGCAGATAGCAAAAGGGGGCGAGCAGATAGCAGAAGGGGGCGAGCAGATAGCAGAAGGGGGCGAGCAGGTAGCAGAAGGGGGCGAGCAGATAGCAGAAGGATGGCGAGCAGATAGCAGAAGGGGGCGAGCAGATAGCAGAAGGGGGCGAGCAGATAGCAGAAGGGGGCGAGCAGATAGCAGGAGGGGGCGTGTAGATAGCAGAAGGAAGCGAGCAGATAGCAGAAGGGGGCGAGCAGATAGCAGAAGGGGGCGAGCAGATAGCAGAAGGGCGACGCGCAGACAGCAGAAGGGCGACGCGCAGATAGCAAAAGGCTGCGAGCAGATAGCAGATGGCAGATAGCAAATAGCTGAGAGCTTGCTACAAACAGCCAACTGCCTATAAACTATATTGTTAAATATTGTTAAAGTAAATATTGCTAAAAAGACCTATCCTCGAATAAGCTCCCATCATAACATGCACATTTTTGTCTTCCGAAAGGACCTTATGAAGGCTTAATTGAGATACAATTCAAAATATAACATTTTAGTCCATGAATTAATAATGAATTCAAGGGATAATGATAAAAAAGCTAAATTAAACGTGATTTTGATGAATATATCAAGGTTTTTTCACAATTTCCTATACTCTTCTTCCTTTGATAAAACTGTGGGTTGAAAGAGTTATTAAGATAAACTGCAAATGATATGAACATAAAAATATTTAAAAAGTTACAAAACGAACTATTTGTATGGCAACTTGGAGATTTTCGCAAGCCCTGATAAAAAACGTCTTAATTAAATTAATAAGCCCCCAAGGACGAACTTGAGGATTTACAGCAATGTTTTGAATACGGATGCTTGCCTTCTCCGTTTCTATATAAGATACATTTTTCAGTATCCTAATTCTCAATTTTCAGAGTACCATTGCGCATCCTAGCTCTGCTCCTCTCAGAATTGCATGAAATTACATTTTATTACACTGTTGTCAATTAAATGCTGTATTACTTTAACTCATTCTTGTTGTGCTATTCCAGGATTGTTTTCATATTCTATTCTTCACAATAGACGTGCGTGCAAATTGTCCAAAAAAACCGAAAATTAAGGAAAATATTGCGAAACCTACACTTATTCTAAAGTGTTTATGTTTACAAGAAACATTATAGCTGAAAGCAGCAGGGGTATGCAAAATTAAAGACGCACTAACGAAGCACTCTGAAAATTCGCGCTAATACGAATCTGAAATTAATAAAACGCACGATACGGCATCTGATAAACAAGAATTATTTTGCACGAAGTATCAAATTATGTACATCGAAGAAAATGTTGTAAATGATCCTGTAAGGACAAGAAATCGCGTGACTGATAAGAAACCCTTGTCAACCTCAAGCCTTACCTCAAACGATCGATTTGAAAGACTCTGCCTATCTTGTGTGCGCTTGCGTGCGTGTAGGTTGAGAAAGACTCACGCAATACATTCACACAAGAGCAAAAGCGACTTATCATTTTCATCTCCAGACTGAGATTTGCATCTCCCGCCCTGGTATCCATAAGAGACTCGTTGCTAATCCACTTATAGTCAAAACAAGAGTGCATTGAATAAGCATATGCTGGAGATGCCAAGAACAGATATCAACCAAATCAATGAAAGGGTTAGAGCTAAAGAAGGCCGGGTCAAGCACTGACGACATAAATATGGGGGTCCCTAAAAAGGAGAGCAATTTTGGGCAATGTATCGCTGCAATTTGCAAGCAAGGTTATTTACCATCACTGGCCAGTGAAAGCCCTACTGCATTCAAAGCACGAAACATTTTCATTCTTAACAAAACAAAAATATTTTAAGGAGACGGATGGGGGGGGGGGGTTGGGTTGGTTTCTCACTTTTTCAGTCTATAAGCCAGCATGTTTTCTCTAATCCAAGCCTACAAGGTGAGAACAACATTCTCCAGTCAAAGCACTACAGCCCTGCCCTAAATGAGCACCAACAATCGTGTAACGGGAAAAAAATAATTTCAACCGTACGTAGAAACAGGACATTAAATTAATATTTATTTAAAAATTCACTGGTTCCTTCTGCCGCTATAAATAAGCATACATTACTTACTACTCCTCAAACAGCTAAATTTGCGTTAAACCTGCTAATTCCAGCTTTCACTATGTAGCACCCTAAAAATTCTGTCATATTAACCTTGCAGCAGATTCGGTTGACGAGAAAAGACAATAAATCCGCCGCTGGCTTCATGTGACAACTGGAAGAAGCAACTTGATAACAACGTTCAGATGGCTCATTCCTAGGCCCCCTGCATCAACCGATCGCGTCCTAAACCGAACTGCAAGAGCGCACGCTGATTCCCTCGAGTCCCTGGGGCAAGCAGCGACACTTTTCAGCATTCAAACCTTCCTGAAACGTGAATACAGGTTCAGTTCAGAGATCTATTACACCAGTTAAAAAGAAAACTGGCTTGGAGTCACCCTCTGTTAATGTCGCTGTTTGGTACTCGTCTCTGAATCTGAAACGCCAGTTCTCCTCCAAATCTAAACGGTTAATTTCTTCTCGCATCCTATAACGGTCATTCGATATAATGCACAACCTAGCGTCATCTATAAACTTGAATTTCGATAAAAATTCTTTTTCCAAACTTTGCGGATAATCATAGAGTAATAGACCCCCGTATTTCCTTTCCAATTGGTTTTTCGTCGCCTCATTCAGTTCCCCGGTTAAATTGCCATTGATAACGCATATAGTGATCTTTTCACCAAGATCTACATAACCCCCTATTATCAAGACAGGATAGTCAGGCTGGTCCACTGACGCTGGAAATAACATGTTCCCACATATCCTCAAGTATGTCTGCATTACAAGATGCGAAGGCGCATTTATCGTTTTCAAGTATTCTATATCAGGGGGTGCAACCAAGTGGGAATACGGGGGTTCGGTAATTGGTTCACTATCGTTCATATTTTCCCACTTTTGTGAGCGGAATGGCACCCTCCAACCACTCCTTGCTGTCACCTTGCACATGAAGCTCAGATGTTCAAAACGACACGTAAGAATGTTGTTTTCCACTAGCCTGAGCTGAAAGTCGATATTTTCACCGATATACTTTGAGTTCTTGAAGCAAATATTGTATGTCTGCTTGATGTTCATAAAGACACAGGAATGAACAAAAGTCCGAATAAAGCCATGCATGGGCACATCGAATTGAGCCGAGCTCCACGGCCTTAGGCCGATTATACCGTACTGCAGCACATGGGGGGTCGCCTCCACTAGCTTCATGATGTCGAAAAGCGAAGTGGTATCAGCGGAAGGTGATAAAGCATCCGGATCCATCGAATCAATCTCATCTTCTTTATCGCTGAAATAGATAAAAACAGTTCAATTGACTACAGTCGAGACAGAGGAGTATATATCATATATATTTCATACGACTGCAAGTAAAACAATACTCCAGGAAATGACAAAAGAACTTGTCGTAAAAACAACTTAAATCTTACTTGACTGGCTGGTTATTCTTTCCAGCCTGTTGCCACATAACAACATTATCAGCTACCATTAAAACCAATGGCCATATGTCCTCATCAGAATTTGATTCAATGTTCTGTCGGTTAACTTCGTATTCATAATTCTGTCTCCCGAAATGCTGCAAATAAAAAATTCAATGAAATTCTAGTACAACGAGGAATAAGAAAGTTGGAAAGGGCACCAGCGGTCTTTAATCGGTTAACATGCTATATAATTCGAGTGATCTGGGTATATTTGGTGCGAGCAAAGAAATCACAGTTAAAATTCTATTCTTAAGCATTTTGTATTTCTCTTTGCATTACTCCTATTAGAGAAGAGGCCGTACACAGTGGGCGCTGCTATACTCTGCAGGTTTAGCAAGTGGGATCTTAGAGACACTAAAATTACAAGAAAATTCTCACAGTCCAAGGACATAAAGAACATTACCAATTGCCTGTTAATTATCAATTCGCAAATAACAATTGCCAAAAGTACTTTGATCACCTTCATAACCTGCTTCACAGCTCCAAAACTTGCGTCATCGAAATCTGGCGGCAAAACGACGAATACGTGATTAGGCCAGTTTTTCTGGTACATTGACAGCTCACTTTGCTTGACAAATGTTATGTGAACATAGTCTGTTTCCTCCATTGCGTGGAACAGGTTTAACAAACCTGAAAGATTGAAGAAATTCAGTGAAATACGTAATCTACTTGTGTATTTAAATTAAATGTCAGCAAGAAATTATTGACAAAAACAAAACAAATCGAAACGGTCTCAGAAAATCGATGCTTCTACAAATTCTTACCTTCTTCTTCCCCCTCGGAACTTGCCATCAAAATTGGAGTCTTAATTTTCCTTCCAATCAACGTTTCCTCGTATGTTTTCACAGCTTTCGGGAATGGCGTTGCAACATTTATCTTTGGCAGAAACAAACCCTGGACAGTTTGTTGCTCTTCGTCCACTAAGAAGTACTTCATGTGCATTACAGGAATGATAAATTGCAGCTCCACCTGCCAAAGAATCACAAAATGTAAGATACTTGATGGCAATGAACATTTAATACTTTGAGAACAAAAGGAAGGAAATCCCAAGACGGACCACTGGTTATATAGCACATTCTAGTGTATGTAAAACACCCGGTGAACTTTCTTATTCACGGGAGATAGCAGGTAAATATGGCGGAGGGGCATACATGCATTTTTTATGATGCTGAAAATGGAGATGAGATGCGTGCAAAAGTCACCACTTTTCAAGACATTTCATTGAAAAAGCCAACACACAGAAAGGCAAATTGTAATGTGTGATGAACAAGATTTTCATTTTTGATTACTAGCTACTATGATATTTGAATCTAGCAGGTTCTTTTTAGTAAAATGTGCAAAGAAGTTGGGGATAGCTTAAACAACTACACGGAAGGGTTTTCCATGCGTTTACTGCGAAAACTTTTCTCCCGGATTAACGAACTCCCGTTATAACGAACTGTTTTCTGGTTTCCTTCAACGTTCGCTATATCGGGATTCCACTGTATGTAATAAAGGGCAAAATTGGTAAATCGATATGCTTGAAGGGGACGCGGGGAAATGGAAAAATGTCCGAGTCACTCTAAAGGGGTTTCAGGTTAAGGAAAGTTCTTACCGGGGATGGTTTTCACTGGGCTTGTTACATAGGGGATGTTACAGCGAGTAAAACATCATCGAATTCTCATTTAAATTTATTTAACAATAACGAATGTTACCTCTGAATTATCGTCTCCAAAGCCTTTGAGTTGGTAATCAAAAACCTTTGTCGTGTCTCCTCCCATTCCTTCGCGATAGAACTTGCAGCTGTCGCAATGATGCAAAGTGTCGTGGGCCGCACAGTCAGCGAGAATCACTGGTACGACCTGTTGCCCACCGATATCTGTGACGTCAGAAATTCTCTTCAGCATTTGCACTTCTTGTTTTTTGTCTGGCTTCACGTCTTTTATTACCGACGATATGTGAACACGGCTGAAGTTCTTGAACTCGCTGTCTAGAAACTCAGTGATGAACTCAGTCTCAGACACCTTGCTTACGTCAGGCCATTGTGGATGATGTATGGCCTCGATTCCACAAATTTCCATCGGATCGAGAGCAGGGGCATATGAAACCCTGTTATCATAAACATCAACCCGCTTTAGGCGCATCAGCATTCCGTGCAGAAGCCTTGCGAAGTGCAAATAGGCACCAGTCTTTCCAACCTTAAAGCAAGTTTCACCGCATTTATTTAAAGAAACACAAAACTCAGATTCCAGTTCCACTTAAATCAACGTCCCTCTCAAAGTCGGACAATTTCTTTCAAGCTAAAATCCGAAAAGAGTTTCTTCCATCGCTAAAATTCTAGGTGCAAAAAGCGTCGATGTCGGTCTGCTTCGGAAGCAAAGAGTACTCCATTTCTAGTTTGCTTTAAAAAAAGTGATCCACGTACAGTTTGTCTTGTACGAAAAACTAAGGTCTTTCAGGTGGAATGCGATGTCTTGTAAAATCAAAATTATTCTCAAACTTCTAAATTTCCCAACCGTACCACAACAGGGGAAACTCTAAATGTCACCTTGCTGGCAAGCTTAAAACAAAATTTTGCTTCTTAAAAATAAGAGGCAAAATTACAGAGCGCAGTTAAGTAGAAAATAGTTACCTGAGGTGGGCCAGACAAAAGTAGACATCTTGGATGGAACTGCTCTTTATCACTGTCGTCTTCATCAGACGCTTCGTCATTGGGAACTTCGGATAGCAAGACACTGGCATCTATATCAGAGGGGTCATACATCAAATATTAATATATATACGTGCTATGTATTTCGATATTAACAATAGCAATTTCGATATTAACAATAGCATCTACGAGAGAGAGAAAGAGGGAGAGAGAGAAAGAGGGAGAGAGAGAAAGAGGGAGAGAGAGAAAGAGGGAGAGAGAGAAAGAGGGAGAGAGAGAAAGAGGGAGAGAGAGAAAGAGGGAGAGAGAGAGAGAGAGAGAGAGAGAGAAAGAGAGAAAGAGAGAGAGAGAGAGAGAGAGAGAGAGAGAAAGAGAGAGAGAGAGGAGAAAGAGAGAGAGAAAGAGAGAGAGAAAGAGAGAGAGAGAGGAGAAAGAGAGAAAGAGAGAAAGAGAGAAAGAGAGAAAGAGAGAAAGAGAGAAAGAGAGAAAGAGAGAAAGAGAGAGAAAGAGATAGCAAGAAGGACATCATAAACCTTTGTAATGCAAAACGCAGGCGACGTCAAACTTGTGCTGATCTGTTCTGAATAAAATCGAGCTAGATAAAAATGAGCTGAAAATAAAGAGGACGAGCTTTCTCAAAATTCACCAGGATAATCTGAAGACAGTTAAAAGCAAGTCGGGGTTGGCTTTCTGAAAATACACGATGTAATATAAAGACAAAGAGCAAGCTTGCAAACAAAGTCTGATGTTTGTAGAAAACTGCACGGTAAAATTCAGCAGATTGATTGAGAATACAGGATTGCAATAAATGCAAAACTACCTTGAGTTGTCTTTTTCGTTGCTTCTTTAAACAGTGGACTAAAAGTGTTGCTAGTGGAAGTCTCTGTTTAAAAGATAATAGGAAGCATTAGAAGCAGAAAAAATAAAATAGAAGGTTAATTGTCACAGAAATGAAACTGGATAATTTTGAAAGACTTTAACATAAAATCAGATAAAACTGCCGTTTTGATAAACAAAGTCTCTCAACCTGAGTGAATAATTGTAATGGCATCAATCGTGAGTTTCAGATCATTAACTGCAACGAAAACGAAAAATGAGTTTGAAAACGAGGCATGGGATTACCTGTCGGAGAAGCAGGTAACGACGTGCCAGGGGTTGTGAGAACCTTGCGTGCTTCACGGGCCGCTGTCCATCGCCTGTTTAGAGATCAAGAGAAGTAGACACAAAAAATTACCAAACTTTATGATGTTCATTCGTGTAGAAAAATTACACATGGCAAAAAAAAAATTAAAAACATAATAATTATAATTCCAAACATTTAGAGAGGTGTGAAACAGCTTGGGCAGACAAATATTGACTTGATAACAGCAATTACATTTTTTAAAAAGTTGCATTACAAAAATAAAGTTAAAATCATTTGAAATTACCTATAAATATATATTTTCTCATATTTCGCCTTTTTTGTGCTTATAATCTACAGCTTAAATTGAAAAGAATTTTATGACATTACCTGTAATATCTAGACTGGTGATCCGGGTTGCAATTGGCCAGTACCGGTCTATTGCTGTCAACCCACCGGGTGTTTGGATCCGAGTTTAGGTTCATCAACTTTGGCTGCCACCCTGTCTGCACGCCATGGGACTGAATAATCTGCCAGATAGTCTTTGAAGCAAGTATAATTGGCAGGGGGTATCTAGACGAGAAGTGACTGCCAGTGTCATCCTGGGAGTCGGAAGAGTCTTCGTCAATCTTCAGATCTAAGGACAAAGAATCACAAGAGGTTATTTTTCAATAATGAAACCGGACGGACCACATTTTGCAAACAGGGGCGGACATTTGGTCAAATATTGGGGAGGGGAGCCTATTGTTTTGATAAGATGACGCCAAATCTTCCCATTGTTTTTTAACAAAAGACTGTTGTCCTCCAAAAAATGGGGGGGGGGGAGGTAGCGTCCACCACTGGTTGTTAATCATCGAAGGGGTTTCTAAGACCATCCAATGGGAAAACAAACAGGCTCTTTGAGTTTTTAGAGCACAAAGATAAATATTTTGTAAGAGCAGAAAAACATGAGGCAGCATATTAAGTCGATGCATTGATTAGTTAAAAATGGCTAGGGATAAAAAATGGCTTAGTAAAAGCAATTCTAGGGTTGATTAATGCAAAATTGGAAACTGCGACCAACAGATCATGGAGGGAGAGCTTTAGTGTACATCGGAACGGCGATCAATGTAAACACTAAATAAATCCATCCTTGACTAATGATGTAAGGAAAACAAAGGATAGGAAGGGCTAGGCTAAGTGTGAATAGTTTATGAATTGAGATTTAGGTAGATGTGTAGGGTTGATGATGGCCTAAACAAAAGAGAGGAAATGTTGACATAGTGATATGCTCGTAGCGTGTAGTGATGAGGTAGTGATGTGAAGAAATTACTGTAGGTAAAATAAACAAAGTAGAAATGGATGGCGATAGGTGAGGAAAAATTAGAATGAATGGAATCACTACAGAGCCATGGTTGAATTTTAAACGGCTAAAAAGATCATTAAAAGAGCTGCCAGCAATCCTCACTCATTTCAGAGTCTTCTTGGGTTTCTTTCGCTTCATTTTTGACTCCAACTAATTGAGTTCCAGTTACGTGAGGCCCAAGGTATGTTGTACCTGCACTGCTTCTGATCGTTGGGATAATGATGCTTTTTGGGTATGTAGAGTCGTATATAGCTGCATTGAGGTTCAGGTAGCAGGCGATTGAGCCGATCTCAGCCTCGACTGCAGACCGATGCAAGTACCCACTGTCAACTAGTCGCAGGTCGCAGTACTTCAAGGATCTGCAAGAGGAATTCATGTAATAATCAACGATGCTTACTATGGGGCCATTCCTTGTTCATCACTGCAAAAGGCTACTCTTCTAGTCGTCAGTAACAAAGTCAGACGAAGGCTGATTGGCACAGGTTTAGTGTTGAAACGCTCAATAACTTATACGAAATTTTCCACACAATTTATTGTAATCATCAGCATGTGCTTGTCTTTTTATCCAATCGAGTTGCCATTATGTTGCAAAGCATTTGTTACTATTTTATCAATGGATTTGTCAATTCACAATATCTGCTGTGTTGTAAAGTTGCGGTATGGTAGATACATTTTTGCGTATAATTAGTAAATAATAAAAAAGCACGTGATTTGTGCAGGTTAAAGGTCAGCCTCGTATAGGAAACAATGCCTACACGTGGTACGAACGTGCTTAGGTCGTACGGCAAGGCCATTATGCCTTATAAGGAAGAAACGTAAAAGCAAATGGGAGTAATAGACCCGATAGCGGGAATAATAGCTAGTTACTGAAGGAACTCCAGGAGGAAGGTTGTTGTAAAAAAAGCCACTCCCTGGCGTGGGCCAATGGAGTGGCTGGAAGTAACTCATGAATATGTCACAAAGTTAAGCAACCGGATAGTCGAGATGGGCAAATAATGCTATAAATAAAGGCAAAACGTATCTTCATTGTCTTTGCCCTATACAATAAAGATATAATAAAGGAGAAAGAACTTTAAAACAAAACCAATACGATGTTGTTTTCATCACGTCATTCAGAATTGGGTTGAAATGAAACTATTCATCCTTACACTGCTTATAGAAAAACTAATTACCTTGGAAATGTTTGGCCAGCCCTGTCCTTCCCGGCGTATATAACAAAGCAGGGCAGGTCAAGCAGTTCTTCTAGGCATCCTGGGAACCAGCTGTCAGCGTTGTTTTGGCCTTAAACAAATCAAGAGAAAAAAATTAATAAGAAAACACCTTTTAATACGAGAAGGGAATTGGCAACACTTAACATTTCAAAGACTGGATTTTGCCTATCAGGGGTGGCATTTTGGTTATCATTAAAGATTCAAGAAGCTTTAAAAACTAACAACTGTTTCCAAAAGCCTTTGATTTAACACATCCAGTGTATGCTGTTAAAAGGAAATTTGCTAAGTTCTAATAAAGACGAAGTCGATGTCGCTTCCGATTTGCTCTCGGCTTTGTTTCATTAGCAGTAAAATGTTTCTGGCCTTACCAAAACAAAATTGATAATAAAATCATGTAGATTAAATCACGCATTTCATTTTCATTTCATTTTATCATATTTATACACAGAAACCCTATCAGCTACTAAGTCAAAAAAAGAAAAAGTAAAGATTAATTTATATATGATGCTGGTCTTCCTAGGGATCGTGCTTCGGGAAAGGCTATGGCAATCCTTCAACATGGCGACGTTTGTTATGAAAATTACTTACAACGAAATGTCTCAAGCATTATTGCTTTTTAATTCGTGTTTATATTATCCCCCACCAAAGTATCGCCAAAGAATACGTTACCTTGAAATCCACAATGTATACACTCTTTTTTTATAAGAAACAGTAAATTTAAGTTCAGACTGATTGTTCTTAATTTGTTCTTAATCTAATAAGGTATGAGCATTACCATTGCTAGCTTTATCGCTACAGGGAGGTGTTCTGGCCTCATTTGCCAACAAAGTGAGTGAGACAGCCTTAATTTGCTGACAAATTTGAATATTCACCGAAAAAGCACACACATATGGCTATATAAAATCCTCGATTTTGAGAAAAACGTTGTTCAAAATTGCATTTTGCAGAAGCTCAGCCTCAGCTTGTTCTTAATTTGTTTTTAACTTTTGAAAAATTTTGAGGCTCGTGTTCTTATAAATTGTTTTTATAAAAAAAGAATGTAATGTACCTTGGCTGGGGGCCTACATGACAGTGGAACAATACCTGAATACAACTAAACGACAAACAAATGACGTCATACCACTCAAACGCCTCCAAGCCCTCATTCTCTCTAGAAAATGATGATCCAGTTCGAAATTGCTCTGCCCATCATCGTATATCACATCAAAGCGATACTGAAATCCAACTCTGTGCGAAGAAACGGTTTGTTTGGAAGTCAAGCAAACAGAATTTTCAACTAAATTGAATTAAACAGAAAATTATACGTAAAAAGTAAAAACAGCGAGTTGGCAAATATGTTACTTAACTTCTTTATAAGGAAAAGCCGAAAAACCATCTCATTTCACATGAAGTTTTCAATTAGAAGTTATGTTATGTCCCGTTAGGTCACGCCATGTTACGTCTGACAACATCGCGTTGAGATGTCCAGCAAAAGAGGGTTTTAAGACAAGGCATCATACAACAAAAGTGCAACAAGCAAACAAAATAAAAACGACAATCACTTGTCTCTGGTTTGTTTGATCAAATTGTAACAGTATTTGGCCACGTCCGTGTTCGGTACTCTGATCAGCAACATGTATCCGGATCCGTCCCTCTTCTTGAGCGGAGCTTCAACGATGTCTCTGGTCATTTGAATGGCAGAAAGCACACAGTACTGTTCAGCTGGTTTGATTCCGGCTGCGACCATTAGAGCAGCTCGGTACAGGCGGGTCAGCAGAAAACCGTGTACCACATTGTACGGAATATCATTATACCTGCATTTATATATAATTGTCTTTAGTATGTGCAAAAATGGTCTAACTCCTTATGATAAGCTAGTTAGGTAATAAAGAAAAGAAGGTATGAGGAAATACGAAAATCTACTTGTTGTGCCGGGGAAAACTCACTTGGAACGAAATTTAACGGTGTTCCGCTCATCACAGGTCTAACTGAAACCCGGTCTTCAATATAACTGCGGAAATAATATCGAATGGCAAGGTTGTTATAGCTTCCATGTGTATGCAATTCTTATGAAGAGCAAGCCTCAGAATGCAGTTTAAGGGTTCATTAGTCCTAGCTAGAAATAAAATTAATGACAAATTTACATCTAAAAACTGATGCACGCAGCTGTTTGAAACAACGGTTTGCAATTCGTCGTTCGCAATCCGCCGTTTGCAGCCACAGAAAGTAAATATACAGACGTAGAACTGAGACTGGAAAAGTATTTTTTCAATAGAAGAAGTCCCTTCGTGGGCAGGCCACTTCGACTATCTCAAACATCCATCTCCGACAAAAGGTTGATCACACTAGTAAGCTAGCAAACACCCGGCGGGTTCACTTTCATATGACCCTATACAACACGTGAGTTCCAAAAATCTCTGAGAAAGGGTCATAAATTTGACACACAACTGGGACATAGATTTCCAAAAAAGGGTGTTTCTCAAAAACATATTCAGAGATTTTGGTAAAAAGGGTCAAATATCTTGAGTAAAATCTACCTTTTACTTTTTATCAAATTAATTGGCAAGGTTGATGGGGCTGATTTAATTTAACATTTTTTGGTGTCAGAGAAAAGGGGTGTAACATTCCCAAATTTTCAGAGATAGGGGTGTGTTGCGATGCCGGTTATGTCAGAGATAAGGGGGTAGAAATCCATTTTTGAAACTCACATGGTATAAAGATTCTTATAGAAGTGAACCCGCCGGGAGCAAACCAGAATAAAGCCAAGTTATTTACCTATTTGCTCTTGGAACGCAAAGGTCAAATGTTTCTTCATGCCTTATCAATGGATACTGTTGACACCACTTGGCAGAATCGGCGTACTCCTTGATCCCAAAGTAAATCATTTCCTGGTCGTTTACTTTAATGTATTTGTTTTCAATCACACTAGGTTTGTTTCCTACAAGCAAAAAAAACAAACTGAAAGACTTTGATTATCAATGACTTTGCGATTAATGCTTCAAGAACTTCCTGACGACTCATAAAAATGCCTCTACTTGATTCTATAATCAACGGCTAGCCCCAATACTTTCATCACATCACAAGTGTCAATTGTAAGTTGGTTCATAGTTGTAAATTGTAAGATAGAAATTATGCAAGATGTGCCTCAGGGTTACGGTAAACATTTCTGACACGATATTTGGTTTTCTCTACCTAAAAGCAAAACTATTAATGGAATCAGATTAAACTATAAATCATTCGATGCATAAGAATGTGGTGACTCAAACCATATGATACATGTAAAATGATACTTTCCAGGCAAATTTATTGCTCCAATGAGTGTACCACCTTCAAAAGCTATTTTGTACCCTTGCGTTTGAGGTAACAAAATCTGACTTATATTAGCAGAAAGCGCAGATCCTTAGCTACCAAAGCATTTCTTAGATTTTACAAATTTCTCCTCCTCTAGAAACTGTACCCTGTCAAAAATTGGCAAACAATTTTTCGCCCCTCTCATAGCTTCGTTGAAAAAAAATTACCGGCCGGTTGATTAAAAAAGTTATTAAAGATAATTTATATCTGAACCTATTTAGTCGCAGTAGAAAGAAAACACGTAGTCTTTAAGGAGCTTACAAGAGAGTTGCGTATGCAAGCGTGATAGTTACTTCAAGTTGTTTTTGCACGTGAAGTTGTGTCAGCATAGAATTCCCTCCCATCCCTCCCCTAAGGACTTTAGAGTAGCTGTACTGTAGAGGCGATTTTTCATTCTACTTGATATAGAGTAGCTTATGATTTAGCTAGAATTGATAGCCTTAGCAAGTAATCTTGTATCAACTTTGACGATATTTTTCGCACTCCTTGTACCTTGTCCGTTTTATCTTAATCGATTTATTCACATGTTTGCCATGCACACATTTATTCGCAAACTGCTAAACTGATTAGTACTACTGTTATGAAAGACTCTTACAAGTAAATGTAATTAGCTACTAAATAAATGTTGTTATTTTCGGTTGAATGGAATGAATTGTTTTGCTACTTTCCCTTTTTAATATGCACAATAAGTCTTGCTGGGTTCTGATCAACAACAACTTCCTTAAAAACTCAATTCTATATCCCGCAGATATATCATTTGATACAATGATTATCAATGAAAACTTTTTCAAAAATTCAGGAAGAAAATCTCCATGCAAACAAACCTGCAATATTTCGGGCATCGGTCCAATAAACTTCGTTATCCGGGTCAATAAACGACTGCCTTGACTGAAATATGTACGGAACTGCAGTGACAAACAACGGTATGACGTTGATCGATTCAAATACTTCCTTTAGACTTGGCAACACGTCCGGCATTCCCTGTGGTAAGCAGTAGCTTTGAGATTGGTCGAACACCAGCATAAACAGTGTGTGACTTTGCCGCATCACTTTCTTTACAAATGCTTCCCACTTCTTCAAACTTGCTTGCCAATCCGAGTAGGTGAGGACATACTTTTCTCCAACTTCATGATCATCCGAAGCTTCTTCGTTTTCTAGCCCAAGGTCAAGAAGAATACCTGATTCACAAAGGCGTTTGATGGTTTGGTGATACAGTGACATGTTGTGTGGCACAACTATCAGCAGCTCGACGCGCGCGAATGAAGGCAGCTCAAGGATGTCAGTGTTATCTGCGATGTTACAAAGTTGAGACAGCAGTTGCTCAGCCATTGCAGCTTGGTTCGCGAAGATGAATTTCGTGTTAACAGCACGAAAATCTCCTTTAGTTGGCGTGGAGACCCGGGCATTGTCTGCAGAAACCCGCACTTGTGCGTAGGCATAATAGGGTGCAAAGCACTGGCTTCCTAAGTTTTTACTGAAAGCTTTTAGGTGCATATTGAGAGCATCCTCTGTTTGTTTGAACTGAAGAACAAGCTTTTTAAGATCCTCATCGAAAGGCGAGTTGACAATGCCTTGAAGCCCTAGTGCTTCAGCCAAGAGCTTGGCGTGTGTGATGCCAGTAACAAGAACACAGAATTCAACACTGCCCTGACTAGGTGTCGATAATATCATGAGGAAGTTCGGAATTGAAATCTTTCTAGCTTTGCCTGATTTGCTTTGCACAAAAGTATCATGAACCCATCGTAAAGCCTTAAAAATCCCATTTTGTAATGAATACGTGGAATTTATGACTTTAACTCTGCCTTTAGAGGAGCTCGCTAAGAGATTTGCCATAACATTTAATTGGGAAGTAGCCACTGAGGCGAATTGAGTCAGGGACGTTTGCTGCCGAGACGGCATCATTTCCATTCTCGCTCGCTGTAACAGCGCTTCGATTTCCTCGCGGCATATATTATTGTATTCATCAAGGCCAGATAGATACTGTATCAATATTAAAACAGACGCTGCAACAGGCAACTTCAGCAATCCACACGTGTCAGATTGTTGATATAATGCGCTACTGGTTGTGGCTTGAAACTGAAGAGTGTGTGGCCTACTTCCTGGCTGAAACATAATCGAAGAGTTCGTCAAGTTGTTCACCGAGGTGGATGTTGATGTTGACGTTGAGGCAGAGCTCATGCTTATTAATGTGCTTGCTGCATTTTGCTCTACGCGTGAGTGTATGTTTTCGTCATTTTCAATCCGTTTTGATCCGGTAGCCATGATGGAACCTCGATTGACAAAAGTCGACTCAGTGGAGGCGGGTATGTTTTCAATAGGACTAGTGCTATCGAAACATCCATGCAATAAATCGCTTATTATGATGTCATTGATGTTGTTTGGCAATTTGAAGTTGTTGTTTTGGCACAGAAGTAGGACGGGCCTAACCCCACAAATCGCAGAAATTGGCATTTTGAAGGACAAGAAAATATCAGGATCAGGCTTTGGTGAAGTCCCTGGCATCATTGCTGTGAAAATGAAAATAAATGTATTTAAACACAGTTCACCATCCTGATGTACAGTGGCCCACAGGTGCACACCGAATTCAAATTCATAACACCAAATTCAAATTGCTTGCACCAAATTCAATTTGCTCAACCAAATTCAAATTCATAACACCAAATTCAAATTCACATCTCGTTGCTGGAGCGGGTCAGTGTGCCAAGGAGGGTATGTGAGGAATAAATGACGAATCAATAAGCACATTTTGACCCAAGCAAGTGACATAGACGACACAAAGCCGGTTTATCAAAACACAGGAAATATAAGTTAGTTGAATTACCCACATCTCAATGGAAAAATGCAGTTGAAAATCAATCCCACCGTGAATGTTTAAGAATACTAAGGCACTTTGTATTGTAACTACGTTGGCACTTTTCTGGGCAGTTAAAGCGGTTACAAAAAGGTTTGGAACAACTCTTAGCGATAATTCGGCAATAATGTCTTCAAGACATTCGTGATGCACATAAAGTTTATAAGCGAAGCACATTTATATTGGGTATTTAATCCTTCTTGGAGTAAACTAAAGGTGATTGTAACAGTTTGTTTTCATTTGTTTTCGCTGGCTCTTTCTTACGACGGTTGATCGCACACATTCAAGAAAATTTGATCAAAAGACAAAAATAATATCTAGAAGCTTGATCAAGCGCCTATAAACAAGCTTCTAACATTTTCTCATTTCAGGGCCTGGTTCTATCTAAATCTTGCATGAATCAGCCAGATATTTAAAAAAATTGCTGTTATCGTGAATATATTTTACAAAGGGTCTTTCGTCCCTATGTATGTGATTGTTGTTTGCAATAAAAATGACCACGTTTCTACTATGGCGCTAAATAGAAACGTCACCAAGAAGGCACTCGAGAGGATTTTGCCAGTGTTTTCCGTCTCTAGTACTTCGGAGAGAGAGGCCCTATCAAACAGTCTAGCTTCCTTCGTTTCAGAGCAATATCGAAATGTGGTTCTTAGCCAAAACCTATTTTTAATGTTTATCTCAAACAATTTAAATCAACTTCATTGTACCTTAGGTAGATGGAAAATTTAATATATACAGTATTTTCAGCACACCCCAGAACTTGTCATGGGCCCCCCTCTAAAAAGTGTGAGAAATTATTGGACATTGTGGCTCATAAACTTGCCCCCTTCGTGACCTATGTATTCCTTAGATAAAACCCCAAGAACTGCTGGGCATGCTTTTGGTTACCAATTACGTGTATGTTATTATCTGGAACAGTTCAGAATATGAGTCTCCAAGGCCACGTCAACGGCCTAAGTTTGCACAGAATATGATACTCGCGATAACAGCATCATTTAAAAAAAACTGGCTGATTCGTGCATAAACTACATTGCTACAAGTTCCTTTTGGTAACAATTATCTCTTGGAAGGTGCTATATGTCATTAACTTCCTTGGCACACCAACTTCCTTGGCTCTACCTTCTGTGGCACAGTGTGCACCCAACCTGGCTGCAACAACAAGGCTTGAATTTGAATTTGGTGTTGTGAACATAAATTTGGTGTCACAAATTTAAATTTGGATTGAGCAAGTTGAATTTGGTGCAAGCAATTTGAATTATGTATCACAAATTTGAATTTGGTGTGCATTTGTGGGGCACCATACTGATGCATATTACCCGTTTCCAAGTTGGGCAACATTTCAACCTAGATTTGATAGGAGTGAATATCGACAATGTCATTATAAATGTAATCAAAGAGTACAAACCTTGAGCCTGTGTTGCGTTGGTGGGATTCAGCACCGTTGCATTGGGATCTGATGATATGTCGACATTTAGGTCCAGGGCCACTCGAGGCTTCTTGGCCATAGGGTATGATGTTGCTTGGAGTAAGACCTGGTCTGACGTCAGCAGCATAGACATCTTGGCATCTTAACAGAAACGACAATACATGTGCAACAAGGATTTTATAACTTGCCTCTCCGTCTTACTTTGATACCAGATACAAATTTGTATTTAAATCAAAATAAAAACTTGCATAAAGTGGTTGTTAGTCCCTTAAGGTAGCAATTTGAAAACCTTACTGAAATGCAAATGATTGCAACTCATACAGAGATACTGATGTGTCACTTAAAAATATCTGAGCACAAAATTCTAGGAGCACATTTGCTTTGTTTTCACGATTCGAACTCCAGGTAGACCAAAGGTAAAATGTTGAGAGCTGGCGAAATAAAGCAGGATTGGGAAAACGGCACAGAACTCAATGCTTACCTTTTCCTGAATACATTGTATATGGTGGTAGAAGCTCTGGAGTTCTCCCAACAGTTGTTATGCTGTTGTATAGGGGTAAGTTCCTCTTTCGTGTTTCTTGAAAATAAATAAATACATCTTGAGAAATTTGCAATATCAAAAATAATTATTAGTATCAAGATATTAAAGTATCAAGATAGCATTTACCAACATTATGTCAAGTATGACGTTTGACACAACACTGTGCCACAAATGGCAAACATTTTGAACTTTGGCTTAATATGCAAATGATTCCTTTGGTTCAGTTCAGGAGGAGGTAAACACAAATTTTCCGTTTAATATAAAGTGTGAACCTCAGCGTGAATTTGCCAGTCCTAAAAAGTAATGATCCAGATTTTCTTTAAAGAAAAAATGACAGCTATGGTCGCACCAAAGCTAACTGCATGAATTTCCCTCTGAAATTGTTTGAGTTGATGGAATTTGTGCTCTTCAGAATCTAGATTACTTTGCTCTTACAATTTTATTTTCATCTATCAAAGAAAGTAACACACAACCATAGCGGCTCACCAAACAAAGAGTTATGTTTTCACCTCATAAGATAAACTTTGTTTTTTGGAGTCTGGGGCTCAGGCTACCCAAAACAAGTTCTTTGCATCTCATTGAAAACCCTTTCTGCATAGGGAAAAGGCCCCTCTAACTGAAAACTGGCCCTAACTAGCACTCCCCCCAGACTTTTAAGACTAGATTCACCACTGGCTGTCCAGCGTCTGGAGTGGAAGTGACATTAAAGATGACCAATTGCAAAAATGAGCAAAGAGCAAAAGGAAATTGAAGAGCATAAAGAAAAAACTTTCAGCCACTGTATTGTAACTGGTCAAGCCTGATACTGAACACCAACAGACTGACCACAAATATTCCTTGCGTTTGAAAGATTTTGTTACACAAAAGCGAATTTCTGAAACCTTGCCAGATGAGTTTACATTATCTGTAACCTAATATGCTTAGAAGAATAAACTGGATTCTGGCTCAATTAGCAAATGCTTTCTTTATAGTTTATAGATAATATTGTTAGCTTATGAACCTCCATAAGCTACTGTAAACCTTGCCTTTTCTTTCACTAATTTGTGCTCTACAGATGGCAACAGTAAAGGCAAGGTTTAGGCTTGCACAGCCTTCCATGAAGAACTGCCTACATCCTTCCATAGTGAATTTTCCACTCTCTGAATTTCAAGAACTTTTAACCCCATCCAAAGGCCTTTAGTAACCCCCTCTTTTGGTTGATTTTTGCTAATTTGCTTCATCTCCTGTTTGCTAGCCAATAATCAGCTTTCGTGGAGTCTATTTGTTTTCAGGTGCTCATTAAATCACTGTCTGTGGTTATATTGAGGTCTGCTCTGTCTGTTTTCCTGTGCTGCAATATTAACTTAATGGAAAATGGTGATTAAAATAAAAACCCAGATAAAGGAACAATAAAAAATTAAAAGAACTTTGGCATACCAGTCCCTTTCCACGGTATAAGTGCTCCCTTCGTCCATTTCCCATCTTTGTCTTTCAAAATATAATATTTCAGATGCTTCTGTTTCTTAGGCTGTGTTGCAAGTTTCAGGTTGATGTGAGTTGAGAATTCAGTGAAATACCGGAACCCCGTAGCACCACAGCCAATACAGTTACCACTGAAACCCAACATGGCTACGGAATTTCCTTCACTTGGCAAATAGCGTCTGTCAACAGCAGCAACTAACGTCATGCCTATTAACATGGGAGATTTTGCCCCAACAAGAACAAAACCATCTGGTAACTTTAGATTTTCTAAGTGATCTGCCAAATAAGTCAGTCGAACCTCTCCTCCAGCCTGACACTTTCCTGAAAAATTCAAGAAAGATGAAATTTAAAAATTTAATTTTTTAAAGAAGTGTGAAAAGTTACATAAAATAAAAATACTCTGAAGAGTGTTAAAAGAAAAAGCGTGAAATGTTTGCTTTTTCAGAGCCATTTTTAAGTTCTGTACTGCCCAAGATTGTTCAAAAATAAAAATCTAAAAACCAGCAGATTGAAATCAAGATTAGATAAATAATTTTGATGACTTTAAAGACTTCCAATCAAGTTGCAAATACTTTTACTCTATGAATAAAAATTACCTGGCTCATTACAAAGAGGCTGCTCTTGCGATGATGGAGATATTCTTGATGATGATGTTGATGTGGTTTTTGTTTCTGTGTCCTCTGGGCCAAGATTACTGTTTTCATCTTCAATCAGAGGGGGGCTATGGGCAGGGCCACTTGGATGATATCTTGGAATGCTGATAAATGGTGAGTATTGGGAGAGTGCATAGATAACACCTGAACCACCGTATTGTACTGCATCACCTCCTAAACAAAATATCAAGGTGAAAACAGCTGGCAAAGAAAGGGAACATATACATAAGTTGTTTCTTGAGTAGCAAATCCGTTGTGAACCTAACATGCATATTTTTTATTATTAAGTATCTCGACTGGGACAAGTCCACACAGAAATTTTCTAAATATAAAAACAGCATCCGATGTTTTAACCTCGTCATACAAGTGGAAGGAAACAAGGCAAGGAAGACAATCCAGCTCAATTGAAATCTAATTTGTAAGCACATAAATTTAAACACTAAGCCCAATATGCCAGGTCAAAATAGAAATTATAAAAACTATTACCATATCATCTCCTGTATTCCTGCAGCAGGTTTATTTATTAAACCTCATAATTTGATGCAGGATTATTAGAGAGGCGGGATTATCAGAGAAGCGGATTAATTTTTCAACATGCTTTTAAAAAGCGGGCTTGAATATCAAACAAGCTCTTTTGTGTTTTCGCATGGAAACTTCGCAAGTAAACTGCAAAGAACGCTGAGGAAAGTTGGTTGGAAAAAATGACACTGATTGGCTAAAACTATTCACCTTGGCTGTCATCAAATAAGAATGTCCACAAATCATTCAAAACTCTAAGTACATTTGCAATCCATTGATTTTTGTAAAATCAAACTCGCATGCAGGGTTATTGGAGAGGCTGGATTAATTTTTCAAAGTATAGAAAAAAGGTAGGTGTATTAGAGAGGCAGGAATAGTAGAGAGGGTGTGAATAAAACAGAGAATGTGGTACTTCATTTCTAATTTTTGGTTTTCCAAATTGGACTCCATTTATATTTGATTAATCCTTGTTATTATGTGTTGTACCTACCTGTCATTCACAATTTACATTGTCGTTAACATTTATATCATTTTGTGGAAGACCTTTATTTGCTTATCCAGCCTGTCTTATTTATTTACTGGCATCATCATTTACCGACACTTTTTAAGCAATAATTTCATTGCAACAAGAAATATAAATTACTAGCAACCTCCCATGCCTCTTTATATTAAATTGTATGTTTCAACTCAAGAAATAAATTTCATTGGCATGCTATACTTCTAAAAGACAGGCAGTCAGACAGGTGCTTTTGAAAATTCAAACATAGACAAACCAACAGAGCACATACCATCCAAGATCGGCAGTTGTTGTGCACCCCCAGCAGGTATGACTGCTACAGCAGAATTGGTACCAACTGGGACAGCTGGAACTGCACTCATTGTTGGGAGAAACTTGCTAAGTACAGCAGCACTGGCATTGTTCACCAAAAGTGGCAACTGGTTTTGAGAGACTACAGTGGATGTTACAGTTGATGTTATAACGAACTGCTGGATTGGTAAATTTGTTTTAATTTCATCCCCCATCGTCTGATACCATAATTGTGGATAAAATCTGACTGACTCTTGTTATCTTGAACACTGAAAAGCAACCATTAATGTCAGTGGCAATAGACAGTGCAAATTTATCACTATACACAAGAGCCTTTTCATTCAATTTCTTACACTAAATTTGTTGTCTGCCTGTAAAGTGTGACTTGAAGTTTTATCTTTCCAGTATCAAGAATGACTTTCTCTTTAATCTGCAACAGCTTAAATGAAAAACACCTCTTTAATTGAAGGCTTCTTGATGCTACAAAGTTTAGAACTTAATATTTGACTATGTGATTAATGACCCCACCCCCTGCCTCCATAGTTAGCATTCTAAAAATAAGCCCTGCCACTTTACATGATTTTCTTGATAAGAACACTTGGCTCCAGTTTAATCCTGGTGTTGAAGATTGTTTTTTCACAAAATTTCAGCGTCATGTTTCCTTTTTGTTATTATTTTTGTAATGGAGCTCCCTGTGGATAGTATTGTCATTACATAACTTATGCTTGATAAAGTAATTAATGTTATTTGCTTATTGCTTCTATCTTTCTGCACCTTTCTTTCATTTTTCAATTTTTCCTGGTATCTTATTGCTTGAGTTTTGTTGAATTTCAGCCTGCCTTGTTTCTTATGTTGTTCTTATTTCTTGGGCAAATTTTAGCCTGATGTTTCTTACAAGACTTGTCCTTATAAAAAATTCAGCTCAATAACCGGCTGTGTAGTGAACAAAACTGGCAAATGGCGAAAGTGGTATTGATTTACAAAACGTGTAATCTGGAAAATCTAATGCAAATGAGTCTTACTACCCTAACTAATTCTTTAGTCCACTCTGCACACTCAAAAAATCTAGCCAGTCTCGCAAGTCTAAGCTTAACACAATTTAAGTTGGAAGACGAAACTGCGACCTGAAATTGTACACGTACAGCAAACAAAGAATCCACAGAATCTCATTAGCAATCTTTAGTCAGCATTTTTGACAGCATTCAGGCCGTTAATCTTCCGCCGACCCTGCAGAAAGGCACCTTCTTCCGAAATACGTTATTAGGGTCTCAGTTTTAACTTTCACAATAGTTGCTGAGCTCGCATTTTGGACTGGCTCCATAACTTAATTTAAGAAAAGAACTAACATCCGCATGGTAACACGATAAATGGTTGGGCAAACAAAATATTTCTACATACATTACTCTTGAGAGGTCGTTCCCCATACTAGCCTTCTTTGGTGTTTGGTTGAACATTGAAAAGGCAGACTAGGTTATGCCTGAAGAATTAGCGGACATCATAATAATCGTACCATTAAAATTCCCAGATCACAACAACCATATAGAAAGAAGAGGGTTGCAGGGTAAACTTGAATTTTCGTTGGTTCTCGTGTAAGTGTTCAGAATACAGGTATTTTGGTGGCCTAAAAAGAGCATACCGCAGACTCGCGAACGATCGACCCGCCTGTTGGAGGGGCTGCCTTGAAAGTTACCAATTCAAATATGAATACTGTAAAAAGTCGCTTCCAATAAAAGTCAGCAACCCTAGCACAGAAAATAGCATTATGATCAGCTATTAAATTATTCTTGAAAAGTAGTAGCCATAATTCCATTCATGAAGTCCACATGCATTACGCCCTCCTTCAAAAGTTAGCTATCATGTGTGTGTAAGAAAATTATAATTGATGATGAAGACTGACCATAACAATACATCTGTTACACTGGTACAGATACAGACAGTAATATTCTAAAAACTCACCAAACTTTAAAATCTATTTGGACGATGTTATTTGTGACGCAAACCGACTAGCCCTCTTTGAAGAGGACGTCGCAGACCAGACAGCCAGGTTTGACGAGTTTTACTGCGAAGGAAGTGACCTCATGGTAGACCTTTCTGTAGCCAATCAAATCATTAGAAGCGCTGGCAGACCTCAGACCTTTGTGCTATGTCAGCCAATCAAAGTCCATCGCATAATAGGACCATCTGCCATTCACCATGTGACCTCCTGCTAGCCAATGAAGGAAGATTTATAGAGAGGTCTGGGAAGAAAGCGCTTCATTGGCGACTAAACGCCCATCCCAGGAAAATTCCCGGGAAGCTACAGGTTCATAAAATGATGTTAACAATAAAGTCTAGCAAGCTACTTTATACAAATGTTCTAATAATAACTGCTAAAGTTTTTCTTCGAGCAAAACCAAAAAAATTGCAGTCATTTGGTACTTCTTTTGTCACAGGCGTGAGAAAATCACTACAATGCCTCAGTGGCGGCGCCGCGGCGGAGGGAAGGGGGTAGAATTTTTACGTCAATTTAAAACCCTTTTCCTTTCATAAAACGCCCTACTGCTAACAGGGAATGTTAATTTTCAAAAAAAGGGAATACCCATCACTACCTTCGGGCTACGTAAAGACTTGAAAAATGATGACGTCAAACGCATATTTTCGGTTTTTTTGTAATTTTGAGCAAATTATCTGGAAGTACACCATAAAATTCCCGCAAATGCAAAAATAAATAAGATCTTATACAAATAAGGCAACATGAGAATAGGCTATCTCCACCAAATTCCTGTAATTTGGCCCTGGCTCCTGCGTGGCAACCAAATCTGCGTGGGCCCACTCCAAATTACTTGTTGCATCTGGGTCGTCTATTTTGCATATTTAGCGGAAATGCAACGTGTCTTTTTTGCTCATGCAGTCAAAATTTACGAGTTCAAAGATATTCATCACGTCCAAACTTTTCCACACGATGAACGCTTTCAAGCAGTGGTGGGCTGGCCAACCGGGATACCGGGAAATTTCTCGGTGGGCCCTTGTCAAAATATGACCTTATTATGATCTCTTTAATGGCCCTTAATGAAAATTGCTGTTTCAACTGGCCCAAGCCCGAAGGAATCAATCAAGAATGTTTATAAGAGCCATCTGGTCAAACTGAGAAGTATCAAATCCTGTACCATTGGTACCTGTGGCACTAAATTCCCAATGACACCATGAAAACTCATATTTGCTACGACTGTCGTTTAGTTTCTTTGGCACAGATATCTACTTCAATTTACTCTACTTCTCCTGATCTCTAAGTATTAACTATCGGTATCTATACGTTTTCTTCATCATCGAGAATATTCGAAAACTTAGTAATGCTTACATTAGTTAGCCTGCATTTGTTCTATTCTTATCATGTTGCATAACATTACGTCATATTCCAAAGTCCCACAATTTTCTACCGAATTCTCAATTCTCAAAACGAGACTGAATTACAGTTCCGGGTTATTTAGGAATTGTCTAGTTTACATACTGCTCGACCTGATAGTCATAAATAAGCATGATTAATTATTTCAAGTAAAGGGTTAGGGTTGGGGTTAGGGTTAGGGTTGTGGTTAGGGTTATGGTAAGGGTTAGGATTAGGGTAAAACTAATTACGTCATCAGATCGAGCAGTATGGAAACTAGACAGCTCCGGTTATTTAGGCCTAATCGATACTCGGATAATAAAATTTGTAAAAGTCAACGATTACTGGAAATTACATGAAGTCGAGGATTAAAATTTATTAAAATCAAGGTGAGTATATCAGCGTTCTCAACATAACAAAGCCCCTCAAGAATGAAATCGAAAAGCTACATATGAAGGCGTAGAAGGTAAAAACGTAACAGAAAACGGAAAGCAGGGCCGGCGAAACCAGGGGTACCGGGGGGCCATGGGAATTAGATCGAAGAAATCGGTCATTGCCTAAGTTTTACAACGAGTAACAGCTTGGCTTAGCAAAATAGATCGAGAAACCTAGTCCAAAATAACTCGGTGCTAGCACAAATTGACGGAGTTTCGTTTTTTCCATTGCTTAAACTTGGCACACATGGTCTATTTGTTAATAAAAACTTTCTCAGAGATATAACAAAAAAAGAAAAATCAGCTGTTGAAGGAGAAGAAACAGCTGGAAAGAACATTTTTGAGGATATGAGAAATAAAGTACGGGCGGATTTGTTCTTAAAAAGTATCATCAAGAAAACTTCAGAGTTTGATCGTTTGGATAATCCATTCCTACTAAGAAAGAGAAAATATCGCCGCAATTATAAATTCTATTTAAACTCATTTTGACAAGCCCAGTTTGAAGGTTTTTCAAATTTTTGTTAAAGCGCTTCATTTCCGAAAAAGTTAAGATCAGGTGTTACAAAGTTATATCTTAACTGTACAAAATTGCTTAACTTTTTATTTTTAGTTGATAGTTCTTCTGTTGATATTTCAACGTTAATGTTTTTTATTAAATTAATCCGTGTTTCATTTATTTTTCTCCCCCATCTTATTTCAGGTACTTTTAAAATCTAAAAAAGGTTTCATTACGAGCTATATGATAGTGGTTATTCTAAAACTTTGCAAAACTTTTCTATTTCAAGTCAACATCACAATAGACGCGACTATGCGTGACCTTTAGTCAAAATTCACTTTAGATACAAAATAAAGATGCAACAAAAGGGGAACAAAAGGAAAGGACTCTTATTCTCACATTTTATACTCTGAGGAGTGTCAGACGAAAAAGCTTTTAGCCAATATGATATAAAATGTTTGCTTCTTTCAAAGCCATTTGAAAAGAAAGGAGTAGAAACTACCACCTGGTTACAGCCTCGATCCCAGATAGCGGGTGAGAGTGGGTACCGGGTTGTCTCTTGAAAGTTGAAGCAGAAATGGCTTGAATAGGAAAGAAAAACATATGATGGTATATGAAAATAAACAAGTCATAAGCAGAAACCCCCGAGAGAGATTTCGAGGCATGAATTTTGTGTGGCCGTTTCTCATGGGCACCCTACACATTCCTTCATGAAGGAGCATGGTTGAGTTTGTATTATTTTACAAACTTTGTCATCAACATAGGGCACTCATTGCAGCGTTGTTGTGTTATATATTAAGGGCTCTAGATATACTAGATCCATTTTCCGACCATCCCTAGAATGTTTTTGCCGCCAACCGTCTTAAGCTCTGGGAAGAAAGCTTAAGAACTCTGAACAATGTTACTTTGTTGTGACCATTGCCGAACGTAATCTTGCCTTCCTAGGCAGGGCTACGGCTGTGAAAATCTGATTTCTCACCTAACCGAAATAATCTCGATGGTTTTATATACTTTCGAGTATGGAGATTCAGAATCCAAAATGGGACAATAAAATTCTGCCTCAGTATCACGTGATTGATGACGTCATCGGCAAAAAGAGTCATAAATCCGCTATATATTCAGAATAAATTGTACAATTTAGCAATTCTAGGTTTTATGTGAATGCACATTTCAAGAGTTTTTATATGATGTATCATTGATGTATCAGTTTGCTGATGTTTACTTATTTTGTGACGTCATTAGTGGATTTTCCCAAGTTCTGCCGCAACCTTTGTGCTGATAACTAAGTGAGTTGGAATTCACTGCAAATGGGCTAAAACTTTGTTGATCTAAATATGCTTGATACTTCTTGGCATTTTTAGACTATGCTTGACGCTAATAAGTCATAATAATCATCATAATGCACTTGTGTGGTGCGATAGCAATGACGAAAAAGCAGTTTATTTTCAAAGCGACTCTACACCTGGTCGTTGCAAGCTTTTTTACAAGCATTGAAACATGATTATCTAGTTAAAATTATTTGAAAGCTAATTTAATTTCAGTGTTGAGCTAAAAGTCTTCTCTTTGCTTCTATACATAATTACATGCGCGTTGGTATTCAAAATTGAAAAGTTCCTAGAGGATTTTGTCTTTAGCAGTATAAGTTCTTTATCTTTACGGACCTCTAAAGTTAGATCCCTTATAAAGTGGCTCCTCATGTCTAAAACTAATGTTTTCCATCCAATTATGAAAACATTCATTAAAGATGCTAAGGAATGTCTCTAAATATCTTCTATAGAGCTGTTAAAATCTGAGTAAATCCAAAAATTTCGATTATTGCTTTTTCGTTGGTCCCTACCCTGTGTCCATAACATTCACAATAAAATGTTTGTTGGTGCCATGAGCCACTGCATACTATATACAGTTGACATCCGCTATCTCGACTGCCCGCTATCTCGAACATTCGCTATTTCGAACCAATTTCTATTTCCCTTGGTTTTGCTATAGGGTTACGTACAGAAAAACCGTTCGCTATCTCGACTGCTCGCTATTTCGAATATTCGCATATTTCGAACCGTTTTCTGTTTCCCCTGGACGAAAAGTGTTCGCTAGCTCGAACTTTTTTGTTTTTGGTTATATGAGAAAATTAAAAATACTAGTAAAAAATCTGTTTCAACGGCAGATGACAGTTACAAGACTTCCAAGCAAGAAATCCAAAGCGCAGAAAAGCAAGAGGTGGAAATCATGAAAACGTAGACAAGGCAATGTTCCAGTGGTTTCTTTCTGTTAGAAATCAAGACGTACATATTGAGACGCTGTTTTTAAAAGAAAAGGTAAAGTTCTACGCAAAGGAAACGGTGTTATACGACTTTCAAGCGTCAGATGGTTGGATTCGTTGTTGGAAAGAGCGATACAGTGTCACACTCAAGAGGATTCCTGGTGAAGCAAGTTCAGTCACTACAGAAATGGAAGCGCCATGGAATGAGACATCATTGCCCACCCGGCTGTCACAGTACAAACTTGAAGATATTTATAATGCAGATAAGTTTGGACTGTTCTATCAGTGTATGCCTCAGTGGCGGATTCAGGGGGGTGCAAAGGGTGCTTGAGCACCGGTCAGATTTTCAAAGTACTGTTTCTTGTACCTGTTCCTGTGCGTGTTTCCGAAAAAAGCTAAAGA